AGAAAATGCTGAATGCGGGGCAGGACCCAGGCTTACATTTTATCTTGAAAATGTGGAATATTATTTAAAGAAATGATTTTATCTCATTATTCACTTTATTCTCTTTCCTACTTGTTTCATCATTTTATTTTTCTGGCTTTTAGACCACTTCCTACTCTGAGCCACTTTCAAACTTTGTTTAAGAGGCAATGAAGATTTTAGCTTCAATGTATTTACACCTCTAAATGTCTGGATCGTCTAATTATTAAACCCAGTCCGTTTGGATAAAAATGGATTGTTTGAAAAGTTTTTATATTATAATAATATTGTATGTTCTTTTAAAGATCTTTTTTTTTTTTTTTACAGGTTATTTTTTATTTTTAATAGATCAAGCAGAGGCAGAGTTTTAGGTATTTCCTTTTGAAATAAAAACTACTTCTACTTTATATGATATTAATTTTTTTTAAATTATTTCCTTTTGAAATCAAAACTACTTCTACTTTATAATATAGTAATTTTTTTTAAAATTTAATTTAAAATGTGTTTTTTTTTTTTTAAAGTCGTCATTTTGTACAACTGTTATTGTACCAAGTACACCTCTTTATTTAATTGTTTAAAATAATGTCTATCATCAAAGGGACTGTCCATAAAGTAGGCCTATGTCATAAAGTTTTATAGTTTTTTTTATTTTTTTTATCATACATATAAAATTGACAGTTATGTTGAACTTTCTGTTGTGATGGTTGTATTCTGACAGAACTTGTCAATTTTATGAATTTAATAGTGAAGTGTATTTTAGATTTAATTTGTATTCATTTATAATTTGTAACAAATTTTTAGTTCAAAAGATTGACATACTTGGGGGGGGGGGGGGGGGCGGCCGAGAATTTGGTGCTGGGGGGGGGGGGGGGAAAAAGTGGTAAAAAAAACAGTGTGATGTACTTTAAGGACATCCCCAAAATGTGACCTAATATTAGGTTCATTTAGAAAATAATTCCTTGAAATTGAATGAAGAGTTGCTATATCTTTTTTATGTAGAAAATTGAGAGTTTTTTGGCAGGTGCGAAATGAAATTATATCTTTTAGAAATAATCAATTAGAGTTTTGGGCCATCATAAAAGGAAATTTTAGCCTTAAAAAAACTTCCTCTAAAATGATTTTTTATTCACTAAAATTTATCTGAAAGACTCTTCAGGTTTTCTTGTTGAACATAGACATAGGCCTACACATGAATATCCTTAATATCAAATATCAGAGATAATATTGTAAACATCGTAACTGATTATTTCTTGAATTATATGTATTTATTATTAATTTATCTGTTATTAAATACTGTTAATATTATATGTTCAATTTGTGTGTCATTTTGGGAACAAAGACAAATTATTTTGTGTCTTACTTCAGAGATGTCCAAAGCAAACAAACATCCTGTTACTATATTTTCATGCATTTACTATGTTGTATTAGCCATTCAATTACCATTTGTATAATTCCATTTAAGAAATAGAAAAAGCATATCATTACAATTTCCGGTGTTGTCCTTTTAGTGATGACTGTTAGAGCAACTCTAACCAGTTAATTTACTTGGCATCTGGTAAATCTCACCAAAACAAAAAGGTTTCAAGCCTGCCATTTAAAAACAGCCCTAAAATATTGTTTTAATTTTTCTTTTTACTAAGGGATCATCCATATATTACATATGTAAAAAAAAGTATAACTTTAAATCCCCTCCCCCTGTTGCATGCCCCCTATTAGTAGTACAATGATAAACCATTGTGAAGCACAATGAAGTCAAGTCACTGTAAACCATTGTTTCCTATAATGCGGCGTATACCCAACAGGACATATATAGTCTTCACCTTTTTTAAAGTTTTATATTACAATTGCGTATCTTAAGACTTATTTAGACTTTAAAATTGAAATTCAATCTTCTTTATGGATACCTCCCCCCACCCACTTTGGGGGAAGGGGGTGGGGGCCATTGGTTAAGGTGAACTAAATAATTAGGTCACAAATTACTTTACACCCACCAAAAGGCAAAAGCTGGACTAGTATGATGATAATTATATAACATAGTCAGGGTATTTATATCACCTTTTTTGAAAATAATGAGAAATCATGTATTTCACAGACTTTAGGGGAAGGCTTTATTAGGGTTATTAGAGACTGTCACAATTTCAAGATAACTATCTCATAATTTGTGCATAAATGTAGATACTTTTTGCAAAACTCCTGACACACCTAGCCATCATACTGAACTGTAAGCCAAATCTCAAAAATTAAAAATATGGATGGCCTCTTACTTCAAAATAAAATGCATTTCAAAATAAAACTTTTTCAATTCCTGGCCAATTTCTTTTTATTAATCAATACAATTAAGCACTTTGGCATATTTCTTAGTTGAATCAATTTCTTTCTAGACTTCTATAACAACTTTCATTATAATTTAATCTTTTTTTAAATAAGGGTACTAAATAATTGAGAAGAGTACATCACATCCACTTTTTGTTGCTTATTTAGTATCAAATTGAGATTTAATTATATGAATATAATACATTAAGGTTTCCTTTACAAATTTCTTAATTAATATTATTTACCTTTTCTCTTTTCCTCGTTCATATAATCAAATAATTTTCTTTTATTGCCTACTAAACAGACTAGTATATGATTTTGCAGTATTAAAGTTATGTTTTATATGAAATTAACTAGATCCATTTATTTTAGAGATTCATGGAAATTCATTCTTCATTATGCACAAAAATAAACTACCAAACCCATCTTACACAGACTAAACTATACTTATTTTTGAGTTATCCATATTATGTGGATGTATTGTGTAGAATAAACAAACAACATCCTTTTCATACCAAAACGAAAGAATTGCATTTCTGGTATATTGTCTCATATCATTGTATCTATTTTTTTGTACTCATATATAATTTTTTGTGTATCTCTAAAAATTGAATGTTAAAAGTTGTTTTAAACAAAATTATTTCTAAAAAATATGTATAGAGAAAAAAAGTTACATAAGCCCCATACATTTTTTCATTGTTAATATAAAAAATGAATAAATTACATTCATGTAAAACTATATTAGGATGAAAAAGGCATCTCAGAGAGTAAAGAGCGGAGAAAAAGAGGGCACTGAAATTATGTTGTACATTGAACAATAATTGAAAGACCAGGTTTTTTTTTAAAAATTGACTCTTTAAAAATGTTTGTTCTTTAAATACTTTTTTTTGTTATAACTTACAATGTTTTATGTATTTTTAATTAAGTGGAAAAATGACCACCCCATTCAAAGGTAAAATAAGTGCTGTTAGCCGTGTTTGCAGAATTTTGATTATGGATATCTTATTAAAGGAAATAACTAACATTCACAGTGCTTTTCAGGCTACTGCTAATTCTTCCTCCATTTAGAATTTTAAGATGTTTTTGGCGATTATTTGCAAGCAAAAATATTTTTGTCAACCAATGCCAAATTTCCAAGTTGCCCCACTTCTTTATTGATATTTATATATTTTGATCTAAATGTGAAGTAAAATTCAGAATTATCAACTGTGACAATTAAACTTCATTCTTATGCTAGATGCACTTCGTGTTCTGTTCTTACTTAAATTCTGTTGTCAATAAAACTAAATTATACATGTAATATATATATATATATATATATTTATATATCACATTACGTTATTTTACATCTGTCAAGTTCTTAGTTTTGTATGTGGATTGTTTTGTTTATTTTAATGTTATGCTTATTTCTTTTTTTCATTTAAAATTGTGCATGTTTGAAAATAATTTTTTATGCAAAGTATCAAGGTTAAAGATAATTTATTTTATGATCATAATAAAGGTGCTTTTGGGAATTCAATGTCAAGAATTTACCTTTTTAAAAATAAATGAATGATTTCAAAACAAATAAGCAAAAAAAACATTATATAATCTTTTTATTCTCTCATTAAGTTTAACGAGCCATTTAGTTTTCTAATGATGTAATGTATGCAATCTTTTTCTCTTTAAATTTTATTAGGCCTATACCTTAAATCTTTAAAAAAGCATCTAACAGTCTCATATTAGATTTTTCACATTATTTTGTTTTACGAACAGAGCAAATTATAACCATTTGGTAATAATAACCCAGTTGGCATCTGACTGAAATATAGGTTGTTCCAACATATGAACTAATCCATTTTTAAGAAGTCCAATTTTTATAAAAACATGTTTGAGAGCCAAAAATCTTATATTTTTAAATTTCATATTCTACTCTATCAATTCCATTACCGCACAGCAAGCCACTCATTGTTTGAATTTAAGGAAATATGATTTCATTGTTGTAGTTGAAAGGATAATATATTAGGGCTATTTTTTTCAAACCTAAACATATCTTGTTCCACATTTTCTTTGTGGTTGAAAACAAATATAGGTTTATGCCTAGAAACACATCTTAGCATCTAAAAATCAATTTTCAAGTCCCATGGACCAAAAAACAACACCAGGCTTCTATTCTTGAATTTAATAATGGCATGATGTCGCTGCTTAAGTTTTAAAAATAGAAAAAAAAATTATGATCAATCGAATTTGACAAGTGTCTACTTTTAAATGTTATTTATTAAAATGGAATTAAATTTCCCTTTGTGACACAATTATAATACAAGACAGCACATTTATATATTTATATGTAAAACTAAAGCAGGCTGCATGAAATCAAATAAGTATTTTAATATTTTAATTATATAAAATGAGCTTGAACTTGTATAATAATAAATAGACATAACAGTAAAGGCATTTCAATTGTTTAAAGTGAAAAATTATGTTTTTTTTTCAATTTTTCAATTTTTAAAAAAAATCTTTAAAAAGAAAACTATCAAGTTTACAAAACTAGTTTTGAATCAAATATTTTGTAATCCTGCTTTTAAATTTTTGAAACAGTATGTTATTTCTAATTGTAAACATAATTAATAAAAAAACACCATAAATATAACATTTTTATTATTAGTGTTAAAATATGTTTGAATATTTATTTATATTTTATGACTATCATAAATCATTTTAAAAAATTTGAGACCATTATCTTCTGAGTCAATGTTAAGTCAAACAGTTTTGTCCACATTTTTCCAATCAGCATTTGGCACTTTAATAAATACCAGTTTACCTCACAAAGCATAGGCTACATATTGACTTAAATACATCAAAACATCTTGATAACTACACACTGTGTAAAAGAGATTCGACATAATATTTAGGTAGATTAAAAGGCATAATATGTAAAGAGATAAAAAGATATTTCTTTAATTAAAGTATTCAAGGAAAACTTCTTTTATTAAAGAAAAAAATACATCTCAAAGACATTTAATAATTTTGTTAGACCAGATAAGAACATGCTCAATTTTTAATAAGTTGATATTATAAATTACTGCTCATTCATCCTTGTAAAATGCACATTGTCACACATGTATAGGAAACTTTTTTATATGCCTGGATCTTTACAGCAAGGCTGAGATTAAATGAAATTGATACTAAGATTTATGCCTGGGAGTAAATGAATTAATATTTGTAGCAAGAACCAAAGTTGATTAAGATAGAACAAATTCAAAAATTGTATTTACCAAATTTTATTTTCCTTTAAACATTCAATATGTAATATTTTTGTAGACATATGTTTCAAATAAATGTTGATAGCTTTCTTAACTCCTGTGATTTTGATCTACATTTGGTCATACGTGTAGAGAGAGTATCAGGAAACTGAGAGCAAATTACATTTTCATCCATAATCAACAGAGAGTTCTATGAGGAAAAATTTAAATAATGAATAAATATCACAGCACATACTTTACCCTTATTAAAACAATAAAAAAGCAAAAAAAAAACATTTGCACAGAAGTTAAGAAATTGTTTGCAATAATTAGACAATTTGAACTTTACTTCAAGCCCATGAGATAATAATAGATCCACGTAGACATTTCTTTTAAAAACTCCCTTATACTTGTAACATATTTATGGCCATTAATACCTGAACCAAAATGATTATTTCACGTCTTATTTTCTTTTGTTTTAAAAGAGCAAGAGGTTAGTTTTTTGTGTGTTTTTTATGGCCCTCAATATTTTTTCTAACCCACAATGAAATAATATCTTTACTACTCATCAGCTTGCAAATAAGAAACAAGTTTCTTGGACTTAATTCTGTTTTAATATCTCTTGGGATTAAATATAATGATCAATTTATTGTCTTTAAGTCTGTAAAATATCCATTTCAAGTTATTTAAATATCCTCCTTGCAAGATACAAATTTAGTTGAGAAAAATTTGGCTTAATCATTTGGAATATATTCTTAATATTTAAAATGAATTCATTCAACCTTTTTTACACTGGACCCAATACTTAAAGATTCTGTAATTGTTGCAAGGTTGCAAATGATGATATTTCATTGAGTGACAATGAGATTGGGCATCCCATAACAGACGGTGTTGAAAGCCGAACGAGTAACTGCAGGAATGTTCTCATCTACAGAATCTCTCCTTGCTTCTGCACCGGCGTCTTGCGGTAGAGGTGATTTTGTGTCTGATTTTGTGACAGCTGCTTTTGCCCCTGTTAGAGATTCAAACCTGAATTAACAAATTGCTTAAAAAAAATTTCAGAGCATTTAAGACATCTGAAAAAATAAATTATGAAAAAACTATTTAAATCTGAAGTCTTGAGCCCAACCTGCACTATAATTACCTCTATAAAGGTATATAAATGTGAAGTCTGAGACCAGCCTGCACTATAATTACCTCTATGAAGGTTTATAAATGTAAAGTCTGAGACCAGCCTGCACTATAATTACCTCTTGCGCTTTTAGGGCTGGATGATAATGCTTCATCCTGCTTAGCATCCATGTATGCCTTGACTGGATTCTGAAGTAAGTACAGAGCTTGCCCAGTGGTTAATCCCTTCTTTAGTAAATCTGTGGATATTATTTTGTAACAAAGTTGAATACATATGATTATTATGATACACAACCTGAACTGCTAGTTGGGATCAGAGGCTGAGGTAAGACTTGTGTAATAAGCATATACTTGGGTGTATTAATTATAATGACGGTGGATAATGTTGTTAAGTAGTTCATTTGGAATAAGGAGATGCGTTGGTGTATCGTGTAAACATATCATTTCAATCAGTATCATGTAAACATATTATTATCCTGTAAACATCATTTCATTCAGTAGAAACATATCATTTCAATCATTATAAACATATCATTTCAATGAGTATAAACATATTTCACTGCAACTCTCTAAATTGATAAGGTTGATTTTTTTTTTTTTAAATTGTATAAACAAAATCGCTGTTAAGGAATTTATTCATCTTGTGATGACGTTAAGATATTTTTTTTTTAAACTTTATAGGATTTTTTTTTTTTTTTTATCCAATTAGAACTAAAACTGAAGAGGAAGTTTGAAACTAACTGAAAACAATAGTATATTCATAAAATTTAAAGTGAAAACAAAACTAGAAACATATCATTTCAATCATTATAAACATATCATTTCAATGAGTATAAACATATTTCACTGCAACTCTCTAAATTGATAAGGTTGATTTTTTTTTTTTAAATTGTATAAACAAAATCGCTGTTAAGGAATTTATTCATCTTGTGATGACGTTAAGATATTTTTTTTTTAAACTTTATAGGATTTTTTTTTTTTTCTTATCCAATTCGAACTAAAACTGAAGAGGAAGTTTGAAACTAACTGCAAACAATAGTATATTCATAAAATTTCAAGTGAACACAAAACCCTTCATGAGATTTACAGACACTGCCTTTTTGCAACTTAGACATATTTTTTAAAAATATTGTCAGCTATGGGGTCCAAGAAAAATTGGAAGAGATATTACCAATTACGATTAATTCTATTTAATATTCTGTAGGTGCATGGTTTTTACTTAACATTTAAATCAGTATAAATCAGTATAAACAGATATTGGTGAATATTCATATTTTATTATGCAACAATTAGACAATCATTTTTATAAAAATACAGTCTTAGAGACATGGCTGATATGTTAAAGTCTATTGTTTTGTACATTCAGTTAACCCAAGATCCATATTTTAAATGACTCTTAGATAATTTAAAAAAATAGCTTACATTCCATTGCACTTTCTAATTTGGTGGCATTTTCTGCCAGTGTTGTGTGCCATTGGTTCATTATGATGCATTTGATCCCTGTCACACTTGCCAGCATGGCCGTCTCTACTGGTGATTCAAAACTTAGGGAGTATGGTCTAAATTAGAAATAAAGTTTTATAGCGGTTAATATTTTTCAGATTCAATAGTAAGTTAATATTTGGTTATCTATTATAAAATCAGATTGTTATATTACCAAAGTCAATGTTTCCCTCAAAAGATAAAAGAAAAACCTCCATAAAAGAAAAGTTTATCCTGACCCTATAATAATTCTAGGAATAGCACACACAAAGAAAGACACAATAACACAACTGGTCAAACACTCTCCAAAATATTAATTTTTTTAACCTTACATAGGTTTTCTGAAAAAAAACAATATTGATTATTTTATCTTTTAATATAATATGATAAAAGTCTCATTAACAGTAATGGTGATTTTTTTTCTGCTTTGATATTAGACAGCTCAAAATATTCACCATTTAATGTCATTTAGAAACTTTTATTTATGTGGGAAACAAATAAATAAAAAAAATTCATATATTGACTCCATACTGTATAAACCAAATTCACAATTTTACAAACTGCAATGTATTTTCCTGTTTGGTTTTATAATATTATTCATTCACTCTCTTTCTGTTCTTCTGATCTTTGTTTTCGTTATGAACCTGCGCCCATTCTTATTCTTTTCTTTGTTTTTTAGGTATAGTTAGGATATAGGCTACATATATCATGTAAATTTAATTTATAATTATATTAATGTCTTTTGTTGTACTGATGAAGGCATTTGCCAAACTTTTGAATTTGTATTTTGGCTAAACATTATTGAAGCTTAACATATATTTATTTACAAAATTAGTTTGTGTCTCACTGATTTCCAAAAAGCAAACAAGGAAACAAAATATTTGTGTTTTTACATACGTTTTGTAAACATCAAGTTTGCTCTGGCGCTGAAAGCTTTTTGCTGTTTCAGCAAGATCGAAAGAGAACAGTATATTGCATCCTGTAAATTAAAGAGTTTATTTCTCATAAAAGCCAGTCAACTTAAGTCTTAATATTAAATATAAAATAATTTCCACTCAGCATTCTTTTACTAACTATGTACAGTTTTGGAATCTTTTCAGTGTAATATAATATAATACGCAAGAATACAAGAAACAAAATGGTTATACCTGGAGAATTCAGGGTGGCCATCTTGTGGGGTGGAATGTAAGAAAGAACTCTCTCCATGCCATAAAATATAAAGGCACTGCTCTCAGATATATAAATTTCCCATTCTCCAATGCTGGAAATAAAATAAATATATCAAGGCAAATGAAAATTTTAATGTAAAGTGAATGAATTAATTCTGCTTATTTAAACTTAAACAATAAATCTGAATTTTTAGGGATTTTTATTTTATTTTGGATCAAGCAGTTACAATTTGCTAAAGCACAATATAATAAATTAAAATCAAATGTAGTCTTGTAGTAATTCTTAAGTTGAAATAGCCGGTGACTATTTATTTTATTATTTTTATTACAAGATAGTCTATTGGTTTTCCATGTGCACTGGGCTGTCTGCCCTTGACATAGGATATAATAAAGTATTTACTTATAAAAATGTATTTCATCCATAAAAAGCACAAAAGAGTGATATCAAACCTTGGTGTGTGGTCACTTCCCAGCACACCCAACCATCTGGATGTAAACTGTGTCTCATATGTCTGCAAAATTTTATTGAAGACGCCTATGGGCTTTTTCTCCTCTGCTTCTGAACATTCCAAGTAAGGATCAACAATGTCTGCATTACAGTTTAGAAAAAATTGTCCCAAATAACTTAAGAAATTATATTGAAGTATTCATAATCAAAAATATTCCCCAAAAGTAAATCCTTGAAAATATTTCAATACAGATCTATTATATGCTTCAAATAAGTCTTTATGCTAATATGTTTCCTTTCAGCACAACTTAAAAATTTAAATGAAGAAAACAATTGGTCTGACCAAATTTTTTTCCTTGCATCCTAAAATTCTCATTTAAATGGTAAAACATTTAACCACCCTATATCAATTTTACAAAAAAAGTAAATATAACCTTTTGAAAATCTTCCTCCCTAAGTTGATTTGAATTGTTTAAACAAAAATTGTTTTAATTTAGGACAGACGTTCAAGGATCCTTCATATTTTGATAGGTTAAAATGTCTCACAAGATAAAGCTGTGTATCAGACATAGGAAGGTTTTAAAAACAACTTCAATCATTGATGTTGAAACAAAAAGATACAAAATTTTTAATCATCTTTTTAACATATTGGCAACTTATGATTTACGAAGTTGATTGTCTTAATTTATCCAGCCCACATTCACATCTCCTTCCCTGAAAGGATACATCTAAAGTTGTTTGTGCTGACTTCTGCTTGCCATGGTTGAACTTGACGGTTTAATGGAACCTGCAGATAAAATAACAATAAAAATTGTAATCTCACAAATGTGTCTTGAGAATGGCACCGATGAAAAAGTGCAATGATCACAGGCTTCAAAATTTAACATCTAGAGAATGTCAGAAAAAATTGATTCTCTGATGCAATTTGAAAGGTTATTTAATTTGTATACCACTTGGACTTTGATGTCTGCAAAGTTAAATGTAAACAAGCACTAGTATCAAATTTCATAATAAGAGATATTTAGGAATAGAAAAAAAAGATGTCATTATTCCTTTCTATTTGAAAAAGAAAACACACCTCTGCAGTTAGCCAAATTTATAAATAAATGTTTTATAAAAGTCATAAATAAATCTCCAACCTTTACTCTAAAAATATTTTTTTTCTTAAACTTTTGATTGTTTATCACTGTTAATATTGGTATTGCACTTAAGCAATATTCAATGTGAAATTTGTGTAACCTATTTAAAAATACTTACAATTTTAGCCTGTTTCATTTTAGCATCTCTCAAGCCAGGAATTCGTGAAGTTCCATCAGACGCATCCTTGCCAGATTTCTTTGCATCTTTCTCTTCCACTAATCAAATACATTTAATGAATATATTAAATTACCAAACCAAATACCACATATATTCATTGCTGAGGAGTATTTAGTTTTGCAAACCCTCAGAATGTCACGATGAGCACAAAAATGTATATAATTACAAAAAGTGTGTAATCACAGTTCCCTTACTATTCACTTTACAATTACATATCATTGCTAACTAAAAAAAAAAAATTTGGTTGTGGGTTTAATTTTATCTGGGATTGCCCCCAGCCGTTGTTATTTAGCAGGTGAAATGAGCTGGTTACCATAGAAAGGAAGCTTTTCTAGTGGAGGAGGTAAACCCAAAGTATAAATCTTAAACCACCGAACTAGAAAGACAACAGGAAACTTGGCATGGGATTAAATGTTGGTCTATGCACAACCAAATGTAGCCTAGTCTTACCAGTTAAGCCACAACTGCTGGAAATAAATCAGGAACTAAACACATTTTTAATAGAATTTTAAAGTTTTAATTCATACCTTTTATTAATTTATCAATTGATTTTTAAAATGGAGAAATAAGTTCCATCCATTTAGATTTTACTGAACTGATAAAATAATAGAAAGCTCTTAAGATTAAATCATCTAGCTTAAAACAATGTTAAATTTTATATTTTCAGTCACAAAGATTTTTACGTGAAAGCTTAACATATACTTTCTGATACAAGTTTTAAAACGTTGCATAGTTAATTCCATTTCTCATACCCTTCTTATCATCCTGAGACCTTCTGCGCAGTAGCTGTAGGGAGAAATCTCTTGACACTGAGATAACACCTTCTAATGTTTTCAGAGGGTCACAAGCCTCCAAGGGAAGGTGCATCAAATCCGTATCTACCAAAAAGATAACCAATTCATTCTGGGGGACCGAATCTTTGCTGGGCTTATTCGCTGGATCATTTGAACTGGCATTGATGATATTGGGACTTCTTAGAAGATAAAAAAAAAAGAGTATCTAAATATTGCAACAAAAAAACTCTTTATAAGTTGAATTATAAACGAAATAAACACTAAATGCAATTGGGCCTCAACATCTGATTGGTCCAAGAATTATAGTACGAAATCAGAATTTTGCTTTGAAATCAGAATGCCCTTCATAGTCTTCATGTGTTTTTTTTTGTGTCTGTACATTTTTGCAGCATTTAGGCCACCCATAAACTTTTCAGTCCTTTGTGGGAAGCTATAATGAATGCATCTTTAGTGATTTTTATTGCTTATTTATGCTGTTTTTGTGCCTGTTTGTTTTTTTTAGTTTTTTATATGATAACAACTTCGCCATGGGTCTGAAAGGAGGACAATGGAAGTTAAGAAACATCATGTCGCTCATAATTATGGAATGCTTAAATCGACAATTTTGAAAAATAAAGAAGTTATCAAGACAGGAGATTCAAAAGTATGAAAGAGATGGAAAAAAAAACTCTTATATTTGATTAACAAAAACAGCTGGCTGGTGATGTGATTTCTGAGACAATAATTTGTGAGAAAGCCAAAGTCCTCCAAGCAGACACTAGTGCTCAAAAGGAGGCGTTAAAAGCCAGTGGTTCATAGAGTTTATGGGACCCAGGAATGCATTAATCCAGTTCTATTATTTAAAGTTAAAAATTGTCTTAGAGCATGAACAAATTGGAACTGGAATGGTGCTTTGGAATGGATTAATTTCAGATCTCCCAGGCTCTACTGTAAATGGTTTTATTTTATTATTTTACAAAATATGGTCTTTTTTAATCAATATTACTGGATGTTATTTTCTGGTTTTGGGATTTTCTTTAATATTATTTTTGTAAAAAATGTCATTATTTTAGTCTACACATTGCAGACTTATTTTTAAAAATCTTATCTTATGTAATTGTAATTAATGTTTTTAAATTAACAAGAAATATTGTGTTAAAGATTATAAAGAGAAAAAACTTTTTAAATTAAAAAAATTGTTAATTCATAATTGAAACAAAACAAGTTAATATATTAAGTTGTATAAAATGCAATTAGTAATTTTGAACGGTCCTGCATTATACCTTATTGGGATCATAAGTCTTCCCCCAAAGAAGAGTGCAAAATAAGGCCGCCATATTGGTTCATACACATGACTGGGACTGTGGGACAATAAGGTCTACTCACTAGTTCAACATATTTTAATTCCTTATGCTCTTGAAATTTTTTAATAATTAAATGCATGCGTCTAAAGAAAAAATGTGAGTAAGTGTGATCGCATACTTAAAATAGCAGGCTTTGAAAGATAGGCTATAAAAAAGCAACAACAATTCCTAACCAACTGCCATGGTGGTGGCTGCACTATTTGGCAATCATAGGTTTGTAAATTAAATGTGTGTCATGTCCAAGTGAGGTAAGAGGCATTGATTGAATGAAGTGACTTTGTCTATACAGTTTTGACCAAACTCTTACTTTATTGAATGACAGATTGGTCCTAGTAGAGGTTGAAGATATGCATTCATTGCAGCAATAATTTTTTTAAACATGTTTTCCAACTCACTTTCCTCAAAATCATAATTCACTGGAGCCTGGAAAATTATCAGATTAAGAAAATAATTTAAGATACAAAAGAAATAACCAATGATGCAAAAATATCAGTTGTAAAATTATTTATGGATCTGTTTTTTTGTGTGCATGTTTTGTAATGAAAATCATGCCCTTAACTAAACTAATAGATTTAGCAGCATTTACTAAATTTATGTAGGAAATCAAGGTGCAATTAATGAATCATGGTGCGACATATTTCTTTTCATTACTTAAAGCAATATTACTCACACAAATAATCACCATTTTCTAAAAATAATCTCTAAACTTATACTGATTAAAATGTTTTTAATTTAAAAAATGTGATGTGGTACCTTAACATTGGCAAATTTTGGCAACAGCTTTTTTTTACTTGATATTCCTCTCCATTAACAAATATTTCAGCTGCAATTTAACTGAGATATATCAGCAAAGTATTGCAAAGTCACTTGTTTTTTTTTCAAACAATTCTTTTTAATTTTAAGTAAGCAGTATTTGATTTTTGTGTATGTTTGATCTAGTACCAAAACTCCCGTACCTTAATTGGAGTTTTCTGATTTTCATTGAGATTCTCCAACATTTTCTCTCGCTGTACTGCCTGAGACCTCTGATATTCTCTCCTAAGAAGCATGCTTTGCTGCTGTTGTTTGTAGGCCTCAATCTCAGCAAGTATTTCCTGGAGTTTGTTGTTATCAATAGGCTCTCCAAAGATACGTGCTCTACTGTAATCTTATGGGGAGTGGGGGTATTTTTATACCATAAATTTATTTTTAAAAATTTTGTTTACAACTATAATATGCTATATTCTAATAAAAATCTTTCATTAAGGAATCTATTGAACTGATGTTTTAAAATACATAAATACAGGTAAAAAAAATTTAAAGCTTTTAATCCAACAATGAATAAATTCATGGGAAGTGGTGAAAATATAATTGATTTTTTTATAAATAACATTGCCCCATACTTGAAACAGGTTTACCAGGAAATGGATTTGATACTGTAGTAACAAACTGTCTTTAACTCATAATAAAATGCATAATAATCCCCAAAAATATTGTATCACTTGGTTTAATTTATTGTCTTCCTTAAATGCTGGGGCACAAAAACTTCTTTATTTAATATTTCCATAAGAAATATTAGGGTGATTTGATAGTGAAAAAAATAATAAAATTTGAAAACAAAATTAGAAGTACAAAAAATATTGTGGAACATTTTGTTTGTGAACATATCCTTTCTTTTTCAGCTGTGAAATTTTTAACATAATTTCCCATTCAAACCTTTTTCAATTAATTTAATGCAACAATTTATTTTAAGTTTACATTTTTTTAAATTGAAATTTAGGAAATAAGAATGGTTGAGATTTTAAAACAATTACAAGCAAAACAATTTTTAAAAATTAAAAAACACTTAGGTATACCAATGGCAAGTAATGGAACGGAATAGCCTTGTTCTAAAATTCTCCTGTCTTCTAAACCTAAATGGAACAAAGTTTAGCGATCGACATAAAATAAAAAGAATTTTATAAATATAAAAATCATACTATTCATAGCGGTAAGCTAATTAAACCATTTGTAATGCAAAATTAACACCTGGTGATTTAACCATAAATGAATTTTGCCAACATATAATATATTTTGTTGATGATAATTATTCTGTAATGATTATGTATTTCTTTATTCCTTTTGAACAGATATACTCTTCAGTCTTCTGGTTAAGGAAGTGTATCTTTGAATTTGCCTAATATATAACTAAGTGCTTCCATAAATCATGTAAGCCTTATTAGCACCCATCCCTTAAAAGACCTTTGATGAATAAGGTTCTTCCCCACCACTAATTTATCATTATGATTAAGTAGGCAACACAAGATTTTATCATCTTTATTGAGGACAGTGGTTTCAATTATAAAGTTTGTTCTGTTAATTTATTTATCTATTTTAACTTTTACTTTTTCGTCATTGATGAAAGCTTTTTAACTGTCTTGTTAGAATGGATTTTTATGTCTCAGCTCAATTTTTAACTTTCTTTTAGCTATACATAAACGTTTTTGCCAGCTTGATCGCAGTTACCCACTTTTTATCCAACTAAATATTTCATCTCAATTGGTACATTAAATAAGACAAAATATGGTCAGGAACTTACTTTTATCCTTAGTTTTGACAGGACCTTGTGCACCTTTTGGTTTGTCCATAATTGCACCATACAGAAATTTCCTGATCGTAAATTGAGTGCAAAAGCTTGTTAAATGTATCAGTGAGAATGTTAAATTTATAAAAATCATGAATAGCACAACATTTAGCCATCGATTCCACTAACGTGTAAACAGATCCCTATGAACAGAAATGTAATATACGTAAGGAAAAGCATGATGCCACTGTACTTTTCAGTCTCCAAAGTATCTATTTTTTGTAACTAAAAAAACACTAATCTAATTGGGTTTTTTGAGTGTTCTAACTAGAGGCTGATGGAATTTCGGTTTGGGCATCAAAAGTTGACATTTTATCAGTCAGACTGTCACTCTGTCAGCCAGCAATCCGATATTAGTGCTTGATGTCTATGTATGATATACGAATAATCCTCTGCAAAAAACTGCATAATGATCTACTTGTTCAATATTTCCTCAAATAAAATTCAATTAGGCTTAGGCAAAGGTAAATACTCTTATGGAAAAAAAAATCTAAGGGAATGGTAATATTTTTATTATTATTTTTGTTTTAATTTTTAGAAAAAATAAAATTTGGGAACCCTAGGTTAATTCATTTCATTCATTTTGATTTATCATTATCATGCTCATAAATGTCATTGGCAAAGGTGAATAGCATTGTGAAAAAAAAATCTCAAAGAATGGCAACAATTACATTATTATTCTTGTTTTCAATTTTTATTTTTTAATAAAAAGTAGAGAACCTTGGGCTTATTGGATGCAATAATTTATTGAAATTTATAATTAGCATGCTGACAATCATTGTTATTTAAGAGATAAAAATATTCCACAAAACTAGTCACATGTATGAACACATATGTAAAGAAAGAGAATAATGAAACTTTTAATTTAAATCATGAGCCTACAAAGACATGTGCATGTATCAATGTTTCTTTAATAACTATGTAGTAGGCCTACTGTATTATCATACTAAACATAGCTAAAAAATCTTTCAGCTTTTGTTTAATCTGGTTCAAATCTAAAATTAGCCGGCCAATGATAATATCGGATAAATGGAAAATTAAAATATCGAACAATAAGCACACATGTTTCAAAGACAATGCATGGTTTAGCAGAACTAAGAGTTCTTTCAAGGCTTATGTCTGGACATTTTAGTGGGCCATACTAATGAAAAAAATGCATAAGCTAAGCTTTCGATTGATGCCAAATATGTCTAGGTAGTGTTTTAATTATATCATAAAAGCAAAGGGCACCAAAGGGTCTATAAAAAGAAAAGGGCCCCAAAGGTTTTTTTTTCCATTGATTTTCCCCCCCCCCCCCCAATCAAAATTTTCTCTTACCACAGTTTTTTTTAAATAGATTTTTAACAACTTTAAATTAATTTTTAATTCAAATTATAAAAGCCAAAATATTCATCTATTAAAATTCATGATAATCTCATTTTTTATTAAAATAATGTAAACATCGATACTTCCCCATCATTTTTGCATGTAGACAGAACGTATGCGCTTAACGGTTTGAATATATCTAAATATTTCAGTTTTGGTCAAAAGTCTCATTAAGCTTCTGGTTTTGTATTCTGTTTTGGCAGAAAGCCATTTTAACTATTGGTTTTGACCAGAATCAGAAAATCATATTCGGTTGGTTTCTAGTTCTAGCTTTGCAGATTTTTCTTCTCTTGCTGACTTACTTGTCTGGAGAATGCTGGAGCACAATGAGATTGAAGTTAGATGGGAAATCTTTCAGAAGATCCACATGACCAGTGGACACTTCAAGCTTCTTGCCAGCCTAATAAATTGAGGTGATGGAAGAGTCAGAAAAGAATATGTTCTTTGCATAGATGGCAACTTAAGTTGTTGAATAATTTCAGTAAAAATAATTATATTAGTGCATAAGTAGGATTACCAAAAATAAATAATAATCTTTAATCTCTATCATAGGGAAAAAGCAAATTTAAAAAAAAAAAATGGGTTTTAGGCATAGTAAGCTTGGGGCTTAATTGTATCTTGGACAGTAAGTGAGGTCTTCTTTAAAGAGAATGCTAATCTATATCGAAATATCATACGAGGATAATATTTTCCTACTATGTACTTCATGAAAGTTTGCAATGATAAAGCTGACTCTGACCTGCCAGTCTGTGAGTAGACTCATCTTCAGTTCTTTGTACAGTGAGCTGCTGCTCATGTTGGTTGTGAGGTCATGCTTTAAAATTTGTTGTTTCTGGTGCAGCATGGCTGCCAGTTTGGAGGTGCTTGGGTCAGGCTGAGATTTGAACAGTAACTTCTCCAGTGTCATTGATGCCCGACAGCTCTGAAAATAAAAAGTTAATTGTGCATTCCAATTTGAATCATGTTTCAGAGTCTATATCTTTTAAAACAAGTTTTTCAAAATGGTAAAATTTGGATCCTAGAGACCCTTTAAAAAATTCAAAGATGCCTTCAACAGATAAGATTGGCTACTGTGATCACATTGATAATGAAAAAGTCCTAAATATGAGTGGAACATGGAGCCTAGATATAACAATCACATATGGCAGGATAAGCTTCATAGAACCGCTATAACTAGATGCCACTAGAAGGAAAGAGGAGGAACTCCTAAGACTTAAATCAAGACATGTCAAAAAGACATTGAAAAAAATTCAGCATCAGCTTTAAAACAAAGCTATGAAACTGGAGGACAGAGATATATGGGAATTAATCATTATTCCTCCTATTCTATACAGTAGGTTGAGAGCTAACACTAAGATGAAACAACCCTGTGGCTAGTCCTCAATGGGTTTCATTTACAAACTGCATATGGTATCAATAAATTTGACTATGCTGTTCGAGCACCAGCATAATAAAGCTGAGAAATAAAATGTGAATTTGAAAGGCAAAGCTCAACTTACGTACCTTTTGCTATTTGTAATTGCATTAATTTACCAGTGTGGTAAGAGAGATACTTGTTGCTATTTGTACTTTCATAAATTTACCAGTGTGGTGCGAAGGATATTTGTCAGAGCCAAGAAAAATAGCATAAACTTCTACTATATACTGCTGAAGCACTGCTAGGTAATTGTAGCTCCTAAGAGATGGCGATATTGATAGAATTTTTTGACAAGTTAGAATGCTTCAGTCAAATAGAATAGAAATTCCAAAAATTATTCTAGTTGTCATTCAAGCACTCGTGTCTTTTTAATATATTTTTAATCTATTTACATGATCAGCTAATTAACAGCCTTTTCAAAACTAATACCAATTATTTCATATTTATGACTATTCTAGTTAAATGAAGGAACGTTTACTTATACTAAGTTGAGGAAATTCTGTGAGAAATGAAACAAACCATATATGTATTAAATTACTGGTATTTTTAACAGGAAACACGCACAAATGTCCTTGCGATGTATGTCCTTGCCATGAATGTCTAGGGTGTGAATATCTAAAGTATGAATGTCTAGGGTATGAATATCTAAAGTATGAATGTCTAGGGTATGAATGTCCTTGCTATGTCCTTGCCATGAATGTCTATGGTGTGAATGTCTTTGCTATGAATGTTTATGGTATGAATTTCTAAAGTATGAATGTCTAGGATATGAATGTCCTTGCTATGTCCTTGCCATGAATGTCTTTGGTATGAATGTACTTGCTATAAATGTCTACAGTATGAATGTCCTTGCTATGTCTTTGCCATGAATCTCTTTGCCATGAATGTCCTTGATATGAATGTTTATGGAATCAATGTCTAAGGTATGAATGTCTAGGTATGTCCTTGCTATGAATGTCTATGGTATGAATGTCCTTGCTATGAATTTCTATGGTATGAATGTCCTTGCTATGAAAGTTAGACCATTTACCTGATGTAGTGCCAACATCATGGATGCTGCACCAGCATCAAACTGACCGAACAACTTGACCAGTTCCAAAGAAGCAGTTGCTGCAGTGTCCTGACAATTAGAAAATAAATCAATAGTTAATGTTAAGACCAGGGCTCAAGCCCTGCAGAAACACATGGGAACAGTGTCTGGTAAAAAAATTGGTCATGTTCCTTTGGAGGGGTGGGTTGTCTTAAGTGAGTTCCTACACTTTTTCCTAGGGGACTTGACTCCTGCTAAAATAAAACTGTGTCCTGGTCTTGCAACACTTTTATTGAAAAACTAGTACATTAAAAAAAAATATTATATTAATTTATAATTTATTTACCCCAGCTTGTATTGTTCCAAAATGTCACCTAATGACAAAAGACTGATCTTAGGCTAGATACATCATTGAACATTATGGATAGTGTGTTATTGTGGTGAACTTACAGTAAGCTGATTCTGCAGGCAGAAATTGAGCCCATGATACAAAAACTCACTGGCACACATATAGTAATACTTGGAACTGTCCAGTTGTTTCTGTGATGAGGAAATTAAAAGTTAATGACGAGGAACAATCATGATTTGGATCTGCTCATTAAAACAATGGCTCCAAACGACTTTAAGCTCAATGATTGATGAACATTATATCTATACATTGTGAAATCTCTACTTTCTTTTTTTTTAAAGATAGACGACGGCAAAGGTGATGTTTGAGGAGCTGAAAAATAAACTGAATAACAAACTTACAAGATAAAAAAAACTTGATCCCCCCTCCAACTACTTTCTTATCATTAGTTACAAGACAGAAATATGCTTGTTTTTTTTAAAAACAATTATGAAGATGTTTGAGAGAAGGTTTGAAGTATACACAGAGACCTTTTTGTCATTGATCAGTGCCACAAGTTTGGCCCTGTCCTTGATAAGCCCAGCCACTGGTGGTGACGTTGGTTTTCCTGCCTCAGGAGGCAGGTTTTCATTTACTGCAATCACTTCCTCATCATCAGGTGCAGGCTGCACAAAGCTGGCACTGGCCTGCACGGTCACAGCTGCCTCTGTCACTTCTGCTGCAAGCTGTTGCCGCATGGTCTCCTGATTATTATCATGAACAAGTTAGTAAAATAAAATTTCTGTTATGTCAGCAAAAAAATTGTTTTTTCACATTTTCATTACTGGTTAGGGTCATGTGTTGATAGGCCTGGCTAACAAGCAGTGCACCTTCAAGAATGAGTTGAATTCTGTCATACTATTTTCTTTCTCGCATCAATCATTTTGTATGAAAAAATTTTTAAAAAGTGATTCGTTTCTTTTTAAAAACTTAAATTAGGAAGTTATTTCTGATGTATATTGTTGTCACGGAGTAACTTTTTAACAAGGAGTATGCATAGTAGGTGAATAAGGGCCAACACTTTTGGGACATATATGAAGTTAGAAGGTGACCTCTCCAACTCTAGTGCCTCTTAAACATAAATATATTCCCATCTTTGAGAGAACAAATCCCCCCCCACCCCAAAATCTTCAAATAGCCCCACCTGTGAGGGATACCCCCTGTTGGGAAACACTAATATAAGTGATTACATTATAACTTATACATTTTTTCCATTGATATATTAATATTATTAATAAAGTGTGTTAGCATTTTTGCATTTTGGCAGCCTGGTTTCAATAGTATACCTTACATTTTCAATGGCTTTCATATTGATTTTTTGCTGCCCACGGATAAAGACACTTACAATATCATTGACCATCCATTGCATTGGTGGGTCAGGACCCTGCAAATCTGCCATAACAAGAAGGAGTCGACCCAAACCAACCAGACACTGTGTGAAATAAAACTTAAATTAGCTATGGGTCAAACATTCCATATCATCTTGAGAATGTAACAATTGTCGACTGCTCTAAACCATCATGTTTAAAATTAGAACTATTTATATAAAATAGGAAATTATTTATCTATTTATGTAATTATTATAATACTCTAAATTTGAACCAATAGTGTAAAAAGGGTTTACTGAGATACAGTCATCAAAGATTTTTTGTTTTTCATTTTGTGAGATGCTACAAAAACTATTCAAACATATCATAAAAAAAAATAATTCTCTATGTAACAATGTCACTAAAGCAACCAGATGGCCCTGATTTCACTAAATAAAATCCCTGATAACTGAGATTCTTAAAAATACTGTCTTATATTTATGGTAATAATTGATGTAATAAATCTGGGGTGTAACAGGGGATGGAACATTAGTATATTAATAAAGATCAGAGGGCTTTGGTGTGTGTGTGTAGGGGGGGGGGGGCACACTAAATTTGAAATCTAATAAAGTGTGCTACTTGAATGCATATTTGGTCAAGTAACTTTTTTAGATATGGCAAGTTCACACATTGTGGCTGCCATCATTTGTTTGGCTGGCTATAGTTAGTATTTATTAATTTAGCATCAGGTTTTGTTTCTTTTTTATTTAATCTGATAGGAAGAGTTTAGGGCATTCCTACATACAAATTTAGAGTAAAGTGAATTCATGTACATCAACATCATAGATATATTCGTCATCAACTGTTGAGCTCTTATTTCAAATTTCACTTTAAAAAAGTCTTTATTGCAAAGCTTGCTCTCTCATCATGACTTATATATAAACCTGACTGATTTTTTTCTAACCCATGTCAAGATTTCCATTCAAATTGAAGAATTATTTCATAACTGCTGTTACCTTAGCCTTCAACCATGGTATAGTGTTACATAGGCTCTGTGCACTCAGCAGGACAGACACTGCATCATCTCCAGCAATTCTAAACAGAAAAAAAAAAAAATCATCCATTAGTGGTGTAAAGAGAAAGCTGAGAGAAAGCTGTAGTTAAAGAAGAAAACTTATGCATGAATAAAATTTTGCGGACAATCAAATCTGACAATTTAAAGTTTGTGCACAGCTTTATTTTTATGTGAGAGTCTACTCTTTTGTTTTTCATTTAACAAAATTGTCAATACCAGACTTCAGACTCCTAAAATTGTACAATATCATTTCAAAATCATACAATACAGTATCTTAATAGCAAAAAAATAAACATACAGCATAGGCCTATATATATATACAATAACTACTTGCATCTCCTGTCTGGTGGGATCGAGTTAAGCTGGCATAAAAAAATGGTAACTTCTAAAAGTAGATGAATGACAATTATAATGCAATCTGTGGTCACTTTGTTTTGCAGATGTGTTTTTGCTACAGAATTATTTAATTTATATTGAGCAGACATGCAGATCACATGATCAAACTTCACAGTCTGTCACTGGTTAAAGTATAGTTACTGGTCAAATTTAACTTGGTTCAAATTTGAAGTCAGTTCAGCATAAAACAAGATAATTTATTGGAATAAGAATTAATTAACAAATGATGACATCATTTTAAAAACCAACCAAGTAACTTGAGATTTATTATTTAGGAAAAGCTGGTTAAAAAAAAATAAGAATCAAATACCCATTATGCTTATTTCCCGCTAATATATTATAGTCTGATAACTATTTTTTTAAAAACTGTAAATGGGTGAAAGGAAAAGGAGAGTTGGAACCATAAGGGGTATTAAATATCTTACTCACCATGGTTCGTCGAATGAAATAATTATGTCACAAAATTATATCATACAGCACAGAAGATAACAAAAGCGAGGATAGACACTGTACTTCAAAATGTTGACAATCCCAAAAGTACTGCGCTTATTAAGGCTGACCATCACTGACTAGACTGCAGTTATAAACTACTGAAGAGTACTCACCTGCAAAAGTCCAGCCATTCCTTTTCCTGGCTGTCATGAACCGGTGCCTCCTTGACAAACTCCTCTATCAACAAAATAATGGGCGGCTTTTTCTCCTCCTGCAACTGTTTGTGTCTCAGCTCTTTGTGATGCAAGGTCAATATGTCTGTCAGGATACCAGCCATCTCCAGCTTCACGTCGGCCAGCTCCCGTTGAACTGGGGTGTTCATATTTTTTAACTAAAGGGAAAATAAAACATGTAAAGTGTGTGATTTCTAACACTGTAGTAAAATAAGCACTGGTTTCCCTTCACAACGTTTCTGACCAAATCCTGTCACATATTTGAAAGAAAGTTTGACTCCTTGTTAAATCAACATTATTTTTTTACCTCAAGTTGTTAGTTTTTAGTTAGGATTTCATTCCTAACAATTTTTTGTGTGTAAAACACATCTTTTTCAAATTATAAAAATATAAATCAAAAGAATTTCTTTATTGAAAGAACTATAATCTATTTCGGTCATTTTGACGGTTAATATCTAATTGTAATTGTAAGTTTTTTAAACTTGTTTAAGATAAAAAAAATTGTATCCCACATTAGTAAACTACACAGTCAAATTATTTACCTGAGCCATAGGAATGAGGCTGTGGACATCCATGAATATTTTCTCTGCTAAAGATGATGCTTCCTTTAATACACTGACAATCTGGATGTATGGAATAGTAAAGTTGGCTTAATTTTCTTTTTAAATTTCAATTCATTATATGCTTAAGATTTTTTTGGTTTTTACCCATAAGTAGTGCGAGGCAGGTGCGGGGGGTGCGGACCGCACCGGGTGACACCATTTTAAGGGTGACACCCGATTGAAAAATTGCATATTTACAGGGCACACATTGCTCGCAAAAATCGAGATTCATAAAAGAATAACCGATCACACATATATTTTTCACAAATTTAACCAATCCAAATGCGTGCTTTATTAAAAGTTCAAGGTAATGCTATACTGTGGACTTATTTTAACAAGAAAAAATCGATCATAGAAGTTTGGGGGGTGGGCGGAGAGGGGGAGGGAGGTGGGGTGTGACACCATGAGTTTACCGCACCGGGTGACACCAACCCTAGCTACGCCACTGCCCATAAGCAATAGGTATTGGACAGCTGGTAAGCAATACAATAATTAGTATACTACACTCAGAAGCAAACAAATATCAGTGAAAAGACCTCAGCATGTCTCTGATCCATTTGTGTATCACTCTAAGAATTTATGTGATAAAAATTGCATTGTAGGTGTAAAGTTTAACAGGGTGCAAGAACCTCACAATATTTCCTCTGTTGGTAATATTTTAAACGTTAGAAAATAAACTTACCTGCATGTAGTAAATCTTAACAAGCTCTGAGTCATCTGATTCCTCAGACAGATACCTTAAGAATTGGGCACGTTCTTGACTTAATTTTCTTGCACTGCGCCAGTAGCCCAGTGATATCATGTTCTCACTGAGCGATTCATATCGCTAAAGATGTTTATGGGTACAGGGTTAAAACCAAAAGGTGAGAAGATAAGGGTATCAAAAGAAGCTTAGAGCAAGGCAAAAAAAATATATATATTATATAATTGGTATTAATGAAGATTTTAAGAGTTGGTACAGCTAAAGGAGTTCATATATTTTTTAATCTTCCTATCTATATATACTTTTTTTGTTGAATAAATATGAACAGTCAGCTTTAGCAATATTTATTATTTCATTTGTGTCTAAATCAGGGGTAGCCAAAAGGCCTCATGTGTCATTTTGATTATGAGTCAACTCTTCCAGGGCCGTATGGCATTGAATTAATAAAATAAAATAACAGATACCAGTGTACAGAATTATTGATAAAATCTTATTGAATATAATTCTAAAAGATAACACATTTACATGTGCCACACAAACTCATAAATAAATTGTATTGGTTGTAAAAATATGTTTTGAAGATAAAATTATAATTCATCAAAGATGTGTGGCTTTAACAGGAATGAAAAGAAGCGCAAACCATTTAAATAAATGTGTGATACATCTCGCATCTGATGGTCTACAAAATTGCCGGGCCACCTGTGGTCTGAATTCTCAATTTGAAATAAAAATGTCTTACACATAATTTTTAAAAGAACCTGTTTGTAATCTACTAATCCAGTTGAAGACGGGTGGGGAGAAGAATAAATTTTCATAATGAAGCTCACCTCACAGCAAGCAAGGACCAACTCCAAAAACTGGGCGGTTTTGTTTTTTTGGAATTTGTGCTTCAAATGATCAAAATAAATGTGTATCAGCCTGAAGAAAAAAAAACCCCATAAAATATGTAATTTCATAAACAAGAAGAAATAACAGAATTTGGGTTCATATTTTAAAATTAATTTGCTATTTGTAAATTTGTTGTTTTTTTTTGTTTGGTTGGTTTTTTTTTTGGAAAATAAGATATCATTTCATTTTTTTTCAAGCACTATGAGTCTAGAAATATAAATACCTTGTTTCAAGTTTCGTGCAGTAGTATTTAATTTTCTTGCTTCTGTTCACAAATGAATCACCAAATCTATTGAATTCTCTGATGGCTTGAGCAAGTATTTTCTTTGCCTTTTTGGAAAATAGGTTGAGAACACAAATTTTCATCACAATGAGCTTCATGGAAGTGGTAAAAAAAAATTAAAGCTATTTTAATAAATAAAGATTAACCCTTTAAAACTTATTGAAAACAGTAATAGTGAAGTGTTAGTGAAGCTTTCATAAAGATATATGTATTTTTTTATTAATTTAGACAATAGGGAAAGTTAAATGAATTAAAATATTATTTAGTTATGATAATTTAACTGTAAAGCAGTTAATGTTAATGTGTTACTTTGTGAGCATTGGAATTATCCCATTTCTCTTTCAGAGTTGCTTTAACCAAAAGTGTGAGACTGTCATACCAGAATTCTTCCTCTCCTTCCTTTAGCTCCTAAACAGATAAGATATTATTACCTGTATTGAATACTTACAAAAATACTTCAAGTTATTTTTAATTAAGATAATGATCAAGTTTTAACTAATGATGTATGCTGTTTTAAAAACCCAACTAGTAACTTATTTCTTAATAATTATTTTTCTTATTCAGCTATAGTATATGAAATGGCAAGAAATTCAGATCTAAATTTTATAACAATGTTTACATTTAATTACTGGGTTAATCTCTCTAAGAACTATAGCTGTACCTGAGCCTGGGTGCACAGCATGATGGCTCTCCCATATTGCGCTTCACGATAAGCCAATTTGGCAAGCAACAGTAATATCTTGGCTTTGAGAGGCTGGTCTGTAAATGCCTATACAATGGAGAATATTTTTGTTATTTTATTTATCTATACTTAAACAGTACATAAAATTATGTGTACTAATTTTTTTACAACTTAAAATTAAAAACAATATTTAAGTTTCATATTTCAATTTTTTATTTAAAGATATGATGCAGTCTGAGAAAATTGTGCAAAAATTATAATTCAGCTTGAACATTTTCTTTTGAATCTGCATTGAAAGTCATATTTCTTGCAGCTATGTAAGCTTATTTGGATTTGGCATATCAATTAATAGAAACACAAATTCTACAGTTTACGTTTTTTAGCAATATAAATAGCAAACCGCTAGGTAAAACTGACCGTGAGTGAAATTAGGTTGTTGTTTTTTATAAAAATAGTTGGGTTTTTTAAAAATTAGGTTGGTTTTTTTAAATTAGTTTTTTTTTTTTTAAAATTAGGTTGTTTTTTTAAAAAATTAGGTTGTTGTTTTTTTTTACACATTGCTCCTTATTAAGATCATCTACTTATCTATATGACCAATACATGCAGTAACAAAGAATTATAAAATGTCTGTATTAGAGGAGAATTATCTCCAATATTTATTTGCAACACATTGTACTTACTTCAGCAGCTATGTTTGCTTCATTTAAATATTCTCTTGCCCTTTGATAGTTTCCCTGTGGATGAGGATATATTTTTTATATTTCTACTTTTTTTTTTTTCAATTTAAAAAATCACCATGATTTTTCTTTTTCCTTAATTTTTGTTAGATAAAATTATTTTTTAAAGCAAAAACCAGGGATGAAGAGCCAGGAAAAGTTTGATTATGTTGATATGACAAAGACTATGACATCATGTAAAAATACTTTTAATGGGAATATGATGAAAATCACCAAAAAATCTAACATGAGTACATTTTTCAATCTTAGAGTTAGCAGATAAATAAATGTATAAGATTCCTAATCTGGCATAAAATGTCAAACACAAGCAATCAAGCCAGCAGCCTTTGTTTTTTTTAAGGCAGTAGATATGGATTAAGTTCATGTCACTTGCCTGTCTGATAAGCACATCAGCTGTATCTGTCCATACATCTCTAAGTGAGACAGCTCCTAGCACTTTTCCTAAGTGAGTACCAATACTAGGTTCACTGGCCTACAATTAAAAACTTGCAAAGTTGTAGTTTGACACTTTTTCAACTTGTAAAAAATAATTGTTAATGGTCTGTATACTATGATCATTATTTAAGTATTTTCTTTCAAAAACATATGATAAAATTTAATATGAAAACTTATTTTCAATATGTAAATCCTAATAAATATTGTATAAAAATGATGTATTGCAGAATGGGAGAATTAAAAAAATGATAAGATCTAACTGGCAAAAACCCTCTATTATCACGAAAAATCTCTGGCCTCACTTTAACAGTTTCTGGAATTTTTGGAGACAATCTTGATTGCTGTGCTTTTGGCCTACTGTTAGTTTGCTTGACCATGGCCTCTTTGGCCTCCTTCAGTCTCTGTTCTTCCTTGGCAACCTGGAGCTGGATATCTTTCCATCTGGCAATCTGATTTCTTGATCTGTCAAAGGTATTGATCAAACTTTAATATCCTGGGTTTAGGTATATTTTATACCAAAAGTAAACATTATTCTTACTGTTTATGGTTTTCTAAAATACAATTATCCCAACATAAATTTTTTAAATGTGGGCCCAACTGATTTATTTTTACTCAAAATCTCAATCATAATATTTTTAATACATTACAAAATTTCACAAATTCATATCTGTAACGGACTATGTTTTCACATGAAAACAGAGAGGTAGCATGAATGAACAGTGATTTGTGTTCACCATGTTTATCCATGAGGAGAGACAATTAATGGATTGTATTTTTGAGATGCAAATGTGAGCTCCACGTTTTTGGAGAGTAAAATTATGTTTTTGTCAGAGTGGTTGTTTTGCACGCATTGCTGGTAATAAAGTATGAGTTGACTGAGAGAGTCAGAGCTGAGCGCAGAGCAGTAGAGAACAGTAGCGTGAGAGCTGTGTGATTAGGCAGTTGAGCTGAGTTGTAGAAGTGTGAGGACGTGTCTTTCTTAATGATGGAATACTATAGATATATATGTGAAATTACATTCATGCAAGGATTATTTATTAATATTATCAGTATAAAGTGTGTTCAATAAAGTACTGTAAGTTTAACCAGGATTCAGTATTCTTCTTTGCGTGCCTGGATAGCAAGTGGAAGAATGAATAAGTCTTAGTCGGCATCCTGAACATAAGTAACCATACTACTGACATAACCCACAGCATAAGAAATAAGATCCCACGCCATGTCAGAGTAGATGTGTTACAATATCCCTTATTCATTTCCGGTTATAGTAATTGTATTTCTAAAATAAACAGCAATGTTTGCTAGTAAATTCAGTTAAGGTCTAGAATTTTTTTTTACAAAATTAGCAACATACAATGCTTGATCAGCTTCACTAATGTGAGGATTTCCAACTATTTTCTGGTGAAAGATAATTCCTGATCTCAAGTCCAGCTCTTGACATATTTCCATAGACCTAAACAGTGTAAATTAGAATTAAAAATATATCATTTATAAAATTGTCACTTTCATGTCTTTTTTGTTTTTTTTGACAGAGGAATATTTTTGCTACTGCTATGGATACATTATTTTATTTTAAAGAATTTCTGAGATGATAATATGAATAAAAATTCTGTAAAGCAGATTTCAACATAAATGATATTTGTTGTTTTTTTGCTTATTTTGTTAGATTAAACAGACTGACAACTCCAAATCGTTCAATTGATTTACTCACAACTTATAAAATTAAATGGTTTCGGCCTGGACATAAACTTCAAATCTCTTTTTCATTACATTATTCAAAAAAAAAGTGACAGAATTTTTTAAAACGAGGTAGGAATTTATGGAATAACAGTAAAACAAAAAGTATATGGAAAAAATAGATTTAAAAAGTAAATTTTCATGAAACCATCAGCTGAATTTTGGATATAATTTTTGACAATGGATTCACATTTTAAATACAGTAAATGTTAAGTATAAGACCTACCACAGATGCACCAATTTATTAAGAGCAGAGCTTGGGACTACACTTCGTGACAGAAGATCCTGGAAGGCCAGAACTGGGAAAGTCATGGGAGTGTATCCAATAGATTTTAACTGTTTGATCAGACTGTCAGTGTAGTGAAACGTCAACATCTGTCAATAAAGTATTCATAGATGTATTCAAAGTGACTATCAGTTTTAAAAAAATTGGTAAAGCTTTTTCTTTTTTTTTTCTTTTGATTTTCTTTTTTCCAATAAATGATAACAAAAAATAAACTGATAATTGTAAAAAAAAAAAAAAAAAAATAAAAAAAAAAAAAAAAAAAACTGAAAATTTAAAAAAAAAAAAAAAAAAAAATCAGTATGAAAAATTCTTTTAACTAATCATAAACATTTTTATTGATATGATTATGATCCCAGCATAATATATTTATTCATATCATAGTTGTTTTATTTGAAAAAAAAAGCCAGAAGTTTCAGTCTTATCATCTTACTTTTTATATTTATAACACTTATGTCTACTTAAGGTCTGTAACTGCTGCATATGAAAATTACTTTCCATTGATGATAAAAAGTAAAGTGGAAAATTTAAAGAAAAAAAGATGCCCCATTGAGGGCATCAAGCTATCCATAACTTTTAAAGCACTAACACGTTTTCTCTCCCCTTACAGGTTTAGGAATATTGTCTTCATTAATAGCCACAGATTTGAGCTTGTCTATTTTGAATGCTTCAAATCCCTCTTCTGGCCAGTCATATAATGCCCATGTTTCCAGGTCTGCAGGGAGGACATCTAATGGCAATTTTCTCTTCCTTTTGAGCTGCTAGTAAATACAACAGATTTATTTTTTTATTGTTATTGTTGTACTGTATAAATATTTCTACTGTCAGCAAATAATTTATTATAAAAAGATAACATTCATTTTAAAAAATTTGATTTTTAAAAATTGTTGGGTTAAATTATTATCTCATTCCTTTGTGGATTTCACAGTTATAGTTAATAATTTCAGGTCAATAAATCTAAAGGTACCTGTGCGGCTTTCTCTTTCTCTTCCTTTTTCTTGTCCTCTTTCTTAGTCTTAGTTCCTGACTGTGAATGAAGTTCATCTTTGACAACAGTTGGCGCTTTCTTGGAAAGATCTTTCATGCTCTGTCCAAATGCTTGTATGAGAACCTACACATGTTGAATATTTGAAGAGAATTAAAATGCCTTATGATGTTTTAAAAAAAAATTATTTTAAAAACAAAGCAGATTTGTTATAGAGTACCCTGTAAATCAAGGTATGTTGCCAATGTGTACTTTATACCTGAATCCACTATATTCATGTAGAACTGATTGAAAAGATATTTCAAAGCCTTTTAAGCTTAATTGGTTTTTCAATTGCTTGGATTTTAAGTTCTCAATGCCAAAGGTTTGAAACTTATATAGGGTCTCATGACAAAAATTACCCCACACCCCAAACTAACCAAAGGTTTTATATTAATTAGATAAATACATATATCTAATTGGTATTTATTATTTTTTAAAAACCAATCTATTTTGCATGATTTATTCAATATATATGTTTTTGCTTATACATTATATATAAGTTTGTAACCAACATTATTACATAATAATATGACATTCTAAACTGTTCAAACAGCATGAAACAATCCCCTGGCAATATACCTACATTAAAAAAAAGAATGCATTAATTAGGCTGTAATCAATAGGAGCATAAAATAAAATTCCCATAAGTCAGCACTTAATGGGATTCTTATATAGCCCAATACCTGATTGATAGTTTTGTCAAGTAACTTGTTGTAGATGGGAAGTTCACACACTGCTGCCTCCATTTTGTGGCAAGCTAATTCTAGTAAATAACAAAGACTTACTTCCCATAACCTCATGAGGTAGCTGTAGGCCATGAGCAGAATGTCAGTGTACTGAACACAGTCTGGTCCACAGAACTCAGCCAGCAACATGTGTGACCTGAACAGCGCGTCCAGCTGGCGGACTTCACTGATTTCCTTGACTGACAAAACAGGATTCTCTGGCACTGGGCTGCCTGTTTGGTGATGTTAGGGGATGTTGTTTCAACACAGTACCAGTGACAGAAAGTTATTTGGAGGGCAACATAAAGAGAGGTTTGTTTAAGGAAATGTACAAAAATATAACAGCTGTATGTCATTGAAAGGCAGGCAGGAGATAAAAGGCTGTAAGATTATAAAAATGAAAACTAGAGAGGCTGAGACAGAGAACGAAATACAGGTCAATTTTATTTCCATCAAAATGTGGAAAGGGAAGAAAAAATCTTATGTATTACAAAAGTTAAAATGTTTATTAAGTAAAAAGATATAAACATGCAAGAATGGTACCAATAGAGTCAATAGAAGCTAAACAAAAAGACTAGCAAATTATGGGTATTGAGAGTGAGCTTATAGTAAGAAAAGAGACTCAGAAAGCATAACATTATGGTATCATATTTTTCGACAGGTTTAAATTTAAAGAAATCAAAATCGAAACCTCAAGACATAGCCTGACCTATTTCTATCTGCTTGGCTGATGGAACTAATTCCTCTCCTCCCACCTTCTCTCTAGACGCTGCCTCTGACAACATAACAGGGGTGTGACTTTTGACGTCTCTCTTTGAGCTTGTCTTGTCTGCTGTCATTCTCCCACTTGGTGTCACTATGACTGACACCATCTTGACTGAGGCAGGTGTTATAGGCTTCTCCATTACTGAAATGCCATTTTTAACAAATATTTTACTTTCAATACTTTTTAGAAGAAAAAAAACAATCATTTGTAAAAAACAAAATTGATCTACATGTACCCTCATGGCTTATCGATTCCATTCATAGCTTCGTTTTAAGTGAGACAATATACCTCTAATATGCAATAGTATTTTCATTGATTTTCTGGATGGTGTTTTCTTAAAATACAATGTTCTCTTCATTTCTGATCCTTATGATACAAGGGGAGTTCACCTATTAAGAGCATATTGTTTGGGCTTTGTTTATCAAGTACTTCTTCCTACATAATACAGCTATTTTACAACTGAGCTGTACAGAATTTGTTTAAAATAATCATGAACAACTATCTCTTCAGGCATTGAGTTCTTCAGTTATTGTATTCTGTTTTTGTTTTTAACTTTCAATATATTTTAGCAGCACATGAAATGACACTTTAGGATAACAAAATGTAGTGCTGGGTGAGGGGAAAAAAATGGATTGTGTGCATCAAATAGAAAAAAAAATGACATCAAAAGAAATATTTGGAACAGTTTATCAGACTTTTTTGGATATGGTGAAACAAAAAATTTAGGTTTAGTTACTAAAATTTTCTAAACATAATTTCTTTTTTTAAACTTTTGTTTTCAGAAAGAAATACTTTTTAGTTCTATCAGTGATTTAAAAATAAAACTTCAAAGAATTAAAAGATAAAAATTTGTTTACCCTTTGGTGTAAAGCTTTTAGTTTCTCGTAGTCTTGATCCTAAATAAAAACAAATTGAATTGTTGAAATTCAGCAGATCAGAGCAAATCATCATAACACAATACAGACATAGCACATTTTGTTATCATAAAGTTTAACTTTTCAAAGAATCTTTATGTTATATTTATCATTTCTGAAGAACTTGACTCAAAGATCAGGGCTGTCCGGTGATTTTGGTAGTTGCAGATTCCCGGTTAAAAGGGAAAAAATAAACCGCCAAATAGTTAATAAATAAAACTGGAATGCAGTTCTTGTTTTGAGAATGCAATTTGAAAGTTGTTTTAATAAATCTAATAATTAGAAAAAAGAGACTATTTTGGGAGATTTTCAGTTAAGTTCATTTCAATACTTATTTTGGGTATTTGTTAATGTTAGATATGGTAGCACAACAACCAATAAATTATTTTCAGAATATCCTCCCAAAAGAATTTATTTGAGATAAAAACATCCTTGAGACATAATAATTTAAGTTCATATATAATCCCCTTTTTATCTATTGTTTATTTTGTATAAATAAGCTCAAATACTTAAGTAAAGTCTAGAACTTTATAGTTCACTACTAAAGAGTTTAGATTTTATTTGTTGCACTGATATTATTGTAATGTTAAGTACTGGGCTCACAAAATTATTTAAAAACTGTTGTGAATTCATTTTTTATTTAAATTAAAAACGTTAAAAAAAATTACCTTTCCTTTTTTTCCCATCTGGTTGTAAGGAAGCTTTTCATATTTCAAATTTAAAAAAAAAAAATTATGAATCAGAACAAATTCAAATGAAAGACAAGTAACATCGAGAAAGTGTAAAATGAAACAAATATATTTTTTAAAGCAACAAACAAATTTTAGTGCTGCCAGTGATCAAAGTGTAAGATTTTAATAAACAAGCTAATATCTGTGGAAAAACACATGTGAAATATCAAATACATCTTTTTTTTTTTTCTAAAATGAGAAATGTATAATTATAATTCTTTTATACCTTTGGCTTCCTCTGACTGTTTTATGCTTAGCAGTATATCTACTGCCCACTCCACTTGATCCTGGGCATCAGCAGTTGGAAACTGATTACTGTAGAGCCATTGGCCAAATTCTAAAAGGTATTCAACTTTCTGGTATTCATTGCCTGCAGTCTGCAATGGAAAAACACACATTAACTCTATAGCATAAAACATTAATAATTTTCAAAAAACCAAATGCAAGCATTTATCTAATGACCTGTTTTGATAAAAAAAAACTGTTCATTGGCTAATCAACAGAGTGTTAATTATAGAGCAATTATTTCTTTTTTAATGGAGAAATGACTAGGAGTAAAACATGGCAGCTATTTAAAAAAGAAAAATATCAAAACTAAAAATATAATTTATCTTTTTTATATTCAAAGGCTTTTTATTTATTTTTTAATTAGAATATTATTTTGTGTAAAAATGGTAGTTGCAGCTTTATTTATATTAAGGATTAATATTTAAAATAAACACTTAATATATTAGACCATGGTAAGGAAAATTAATAAATAATTTTATTTTTTTTAAAATCTTTTTTGTTAAAATCTATTTTTTCTTTTATTAATAATATTACAGAGAAAAAAAAGTGTACTAACCTCTAATACATCAATGGCATTTTGATATGAGATGAGTTGTTCAGAAACTTTCTTGGAGCTTAGGGCTACTCTACGCCACATATTTGCAATAAAATCATCTGATTCATCCTTTTAAAATTATATATATAAAAATTTTTGAATTAGCTTACTTTTAACAGGCAAAATACTATTTTTTATATATTATTTTAATTTTATACATTATTTATTTTCAATAAATAATTTTAAAACAAATCTTAAATTGTAAAATAAGTAGCAATTTAAAGATGATGACTAAAAAAGTATAGGTTACTTGTAAGTTGCTTTGAAGAGCAAAATTACCTTGAATTTCTGCATATCCATATTAATGTTTTGCCCAAGTTTTGCTTTCACCATTACTCTGTGTTTGAATAAAATCCTAAACAAAAAAGGATTCAATAACGTGAGTTAGAAAGAAATTTTATTAAATACAATTTTTTGGAACCAAATACAAGTATAACTTTTTTTCGCAGTTATGAAAAACTTGTTTAGAACCCTGAGCAAATTACTCATTCCAGATCTATACATTATCATTAGCTATATATCACCATTATATATTATCACTCTCAACCCAGGTCTAGAAATTTTGTCATTTTCAACATTACTAATAACTTTTTCTATGATAATCACCTAGTGATACTATGAAACACTGTGCAATAATATGTCCAAATTATTTTAACTTTACTTTATTATCCTTTCCTTGCTACTCATTGGTTAAGACATTTCAGTTCTCAATATAATGCTAAGTAAAAAGAAATATCTTTAAGTCAATGTACCTAGTTTTCTTAACTTAACTCTTAAGATGACTTGCACTTACAGTCTGTGTTTGGTGCGTGGCATGCATGCAACAGCTTGATCAATGGACTCAAGGGCTTGAGGCCACTCACCCTGTCATGGATAAGATTTTTATTTGTTTTTTTAACTGTGCAACACAATTTTTTCATTGACATTAAGATATTGTATTTTTAAATGCAATTTTACTTTTAGTTTAAACTAGCAAGTTAGCAATCAAAGTCTTTTAGAAAGCTGATAAATTACATTATTGGGTTATGGCTTATATATTATGGAATATGTGTTTAGACATGAAGTTTGACACTCTTCCAAACCAAAATATAAGGACCGGTATGTCACAATTCTGTTGAAGTAATTGCACTTTTCAACACATTCCAATTTAAAAGTTTCACAAGACACAAACTACAGGCAATTACCTTGTCAGCAAATGACTGAAACAACACTCCATACATGGCTGCCCTCAGTGAGAGGTCATCAGTTGGAGCTGGTCCTGTGGTCTTTTCTGGTTCTTTTTGGTCATCTTTTACTCCTTCCGGTTCTTTCTCTGCCCCATCTGTTTTATCTCCTTGGCCAGAACCAGCACTTTTATCCTGAAAAAATGAATATATATTTTATTTTATCTTTTTAACTAAGCCATTTAAGTTTGTTCAAATATAGTGGTTATACTTTCTTAAGCCATTTTTTAAAAAAAATATATATATATTAACTCTTTCCATGCCAGAGGGTTTTTCACGTTTGTGCCAGACCGGTTTTCGGGCAATGGAAATATTTTAGGGTGCTCTTATCATTTAATGAATTTTGGAGGTACCTTTTTTTTTTAGCAAGATAGCTGTATTTCATATCAAATTAAAGGAAATTGAACAGAGAATAATAATATGACAAAGATAAAACCACAAGACAATATTAGTTTAAATTGTATAGGTACCTAATATTCAGAGATGAATTTATTTATTTTTTATTTTTTTTAAATGCTCACCAAATCTGAACTTATCAGACTACTATATGGTCTGTGTAGTTGGCATCCTATTTTTCTTCAATTATTAGAAAATATATACATTTTTTATCAGAATGCATTTAACATTTTGAAAATATTTCATTTAGTGACAGAGTTACACATTCTTGTAACATTAATGTCAACCGAAGAAAAATTCTTTGCAATGTATACACACAAATTTTTAAACACATTATTTAAAAAATGATTTTTTCTTCTTCTTATGCCTTTTTCACCCATCTGGGGCATAGGCCGTTCACAAGAATGCTCCATTCATCATGATCCTGTGCTTTCCTTTCCAGTTGCTTCCAAGTGTATCCCACACTTTGCGTGTCTGCCTCTAGCTCGCATCTTCATGTATTCTTTGGCCTTCCTCTCTTTCTTTTTCCCTGTGGATTCCATGTTAGAGATTGTCTGATGGTGCTATCTGGGGGTTTTCGGAGATTATGCCCTATCTACCGCCATCTTTTCTTTATGATGTCTGCGTCAATGGGCAGTCTTGATAAGTTCTTTCTAGTAGATCTTTGTTGGTGATGGTATTTGGCCATTTGATGTTCAGGATCTTTCTAAGGCATATGAACTTTCTGCGTAATGCTCGCTATTGTTTTCCAAGTTTATTAGAACTGTTTTGACATTTGTGTTAAAGATTCTGATTTAATTTTGCAGCTTCAGCTCCTTCGACTCCCATATTTTCTTTAATAGTACAAATGCTGATCTAGCTTTTCCAATTCTAGCCTTTACATCCAAGTGGGATCCTCCATTTACGTCGATGGTGCTGCCTAAGCGTGTGAAGGACTCCACTTCTTCCAGCGCCTTTCCTGCCAGCGAGATATGCTCTTGGTTGGCTGCGTTTACCTTCATGATTTTTGTCTTGCTTTTATTTTATATTAAGTCCGAGCTGATCTGAAAAGGTGGCTACATCTTTTGTCTTTTCCTGCATTTGTTGCTGGTTTTGGGAGAGAAATGCAATGTTGTCTGCAAAGTCTAGGTCATTCAGTTGTTACCAGAGTGTCCACTGTATATCGTTCCTCTTTTTGTCTGTGGATTTTTTCATTCTCCAGTAAATGGCGAGGATAAATAGGAAGGGAGACAAGAGACATCCTTGTTTGACTACAGTTTCCACTTTAAAGTCATCAGTGGATCTACCTTCATGTACCACCCTGCATGTCATTTCTTCATAAGAACTCTGAATGATCCTGACTAGTTTTCTTGGTACTCTATAATGCCGGAGAATTTCCACAAAATATTTTACTTTGGTACAAATTTCTTTCTGTGTGGTCCTTTCTGAAGCACTCCTTAACACATAGATGAGGCCTTCCTGTGCATCCCATGCACACATAGCCGCCGAGTTTGGTTATTTTGTGCACTGTTAATCTTGCCCGTAATAGTCAATCAGGTGCTTATTTTCACTGAGATGCTTGTCTGCATTGTTGAAGGGCTTTTTCCTTGGCTTTGATAGGGTGGGCTCTAAGGGAATGAGTGTATCAGAGTTCTGAATTTTTTCTTCATGCATCTTTTCTGCCTAAATTCCAACTTTTCTATGGAAAAACAGGAGTAGTATTATCTAAATCCTCACTGACACTGCTGTCTTAGTAAAAAAGTGGTTTTGAAAAAATTTATAACGTTTGAACCACTTGAGCTAGAAAGTTGATCTTAATAGAAAGGAAGAAGGAGGAGTTATCCTTCATTTAAGGACATAAACAGTCGGATTAATAGCGGCAGGCATAAAAAACAAACTTCAGAAATTATTTTGACACTATATCGTGGGTTGGCACAAATGCAACCAATCAAATCAAAGATACACTGTGGATTGGCAAGGAAAGAGTTAAATTATCTGTCTATCAAAACAAATTCCTATGAAATTTACTGAATGTGACAAACATTTTCAAAGAATAATTTAGTTTCTAAATTTAACGAACATCACGAGCTCCCATAAAAGTTAAATTTGAAGCAGTGTCCATTGGAAAGACATTACTAGCCCCCCCTAGTCCTTATTAATGCATCCGGTTTATACCCCCAATACCTTTTTAAATTTCATGCTGGCAGTAGCAGAGATGGCTTCTAAGACAGTTTTTAAATGCTCTTTTAAAAGCTCTCTCTCCATGGGAAGCCCAACCAATGGGACAGATGCATTCCAGAAGTGCCTTGCAGCTGTCATAACCAGGTCGTAGTTGCCAGCCTTTCTGGCATATCTGCCCATGAAATAAACAACTCCTCTACCACTCATTTTACAATAAATGTAACTAACATGCTTAGAGACAATCACAGACATAATAGAATTTAGGAAAAGGTTTAATAAAACATTTTAAAATTTCATTAAACAGAATGTAGTAGCATACCTAATATTTCCACTGGAATTGTTTGTTTAATGATCAACACTTAAATATATTCCATTGAAAGCTTGGTTCAGCTTACCAGGCAACAATATTGGTCATCAAAAATTACATACCTGGCACTGATGACAAAAGCTTCAATAGCTTCTCTTCGAATGGAGTTCCTTCCCTTCATGTTTTCAATCAGACTTTGTCCCAGTATAAGGTTTGCATAGCTCAGCATTTCATTCAAAATAAGCTGCTGATGACTGGTTACATAAAACAGAAATTCAAAAAAACTCCTCATTAATGTAACATACCATCTACATTACAAAAATAATATTTCCACATTATTGTTATTTTGCTATCAGATCTGTTTACTTAACTTGCCTGCTCAGTTTCTGTAAACGAGACTCCAATTTAGAGGCATTCTTACAACACAGAGTCACTAGTTTTGCATTGTGTGCCTCATGAGCCAGGAAGGTCAGTCGTGTCCACAGCTGGAGCTCAACCAGTTTCTCTGTCCACTTGGCTTCTAAAACCATATTGACCACCTGATTTTACATTTGGAAGAGAACGTTTTATTAGATAACAATAAAATATAATTGCATAACAAAAAATAATGCCCATGGACTGTGCTGTAGAAATGATTTCCAACCATTTCATTTCCAACCATTTCATTTCTAACCATTTCATTTCCAACCATTTCATTTCCAACAATTGCTTTTTAATTTTTATTCTTCTTTAACATCATGTCTGATCAAGAGTACTTTTGATGTTTGTAATGACCATTTCTAAAGCTATTAATATTAAAAACATTACAGCTCCTGTTGGTGGCATGAGTAACCATCCAGCTTTTAATAATATCAATAAATTGCTACACATAATATACAGCCCCTGTTAGTATCATTAAACTCTTTTTTTTTTTAATAGCCACATCTCAGTCTACATCTCAGGATGTTTACATCTTCAGATTTGATACCTACATCTTCCAAGGTAGGGACATCCTTAAACTCCAATTGACCACTTTTGTTAAGTGACAGTATTTCAACAGCAACGACAGCTCTGGTCATCGAGTTTTGGCCTTGCCTGCTGTGCTGTAACACAAATTTTGTTTTTAAAGAATGAAGCAGAAGGAAATAATGAAACCAGGTCTATTTTTGAGCTTTAAAATTTTTAAAAGTTTTTCTTCTGGTGGCATTTTAATTATTTTCCAAATATCACTACTCATAGATGATACAAAATGAACATTTTTTTCCCATATAAGGCCCTATGTTTCTACAAGATGAACATTTTTTTCCTTTATAAGGCCCTATGTTTCTACAAAATGAACATTTTTTCCCATATATGTTTCAGTATTTGACTATTAGAGAAGCAAAATCTCCAAACTAAATTTGTCACACACAAAAAAAAAAAAAAACATACAAAAATATATGAAAACCCTGTACCAACAAAAAAAACCCACCGGGAACACTAGTTGTGATAATTAATCATGCTTATCAATGAATGTTATTTTGGCACTGCTACATTGTGCAAGAAGAAAATATTGTTAAAACACTTGCACATAAAGTGTATGTTGACCGTAACTTTTAAAGCTCTCAAAAGAATATTTGTTAACACTGAGTGAGTGGCAGTAGGGGTTTTAACTAAATTTTCCAGTTATCCAACTTCTTACTTAAAATATTTTTCATCTTTAACAAAAGTCTTTTGGCAGATTTCAAAAGGATAATTATTTCTCAGTAAGAGTGTTTCAAGTATTTCAAAGAAGTTATTTCTTTTTTTTTTAAACAGAAACACCACATTAATACTGAAATTTTCAAAGCAAATTCAAACACTGGAAAAATTGTTCTACATCTTTAAAAAAATCTATCTAGAAAAAAATAGAAATAAAAGTATAAATATTCGATGATTTCTTATGAAATAAGAAATCTCCTCACCTCATCTTCTGTACCATAACTCTTGGAAATCGCCTGTTGAGCAATTTGTTTGGCTCTGACCCATGCCTGTAGCAAAGGCATTCTAACGTACATCGGCACAATGTTCTGGCTTTCAGTTCCATTTGTCACACGCATGGCATGTTCACAAACCTAAAAAGTGATCATGTTTTGGGATGTTGTTTTATTTTCCCCATAATCCTTCAGTCACTCACTGACAAACTTGGTGGTTATTTGTTACATACTTTTTTTCTCATTTAACTGATCTATCTGCCTTTTATATATCTATTTCTCTGTGGTAGAGAGCCATGTAAAGACATCACATTTTTTTATTTTTAATCTGTCACAATTCTCTCATTTCATGCACACCTTAAAAGTTTTAGATTTATTTGCCACCATTTCAATGCAGCCTGCCACCGAGCTGAAGTTAAGAATACACACAGAATAACAGTCAGTGTTTTAATTTTTTTTTTTACCTCTACAGCTTTTTTCAGATCAGACAAAGCCTCAGGGGGCATACCAAAGCTCAGCTTGTTCGGTGGATTCTTTGGAGCTGTCACTGCAGGCGTTTTGCCTCCCTTTGAACTTTTCATCGGTGGTGCTTCAACAGCTGGTTCAGGTTTAGCTGTTTCTGGTGGTGATTTAGGAATCCAAGGTTTTACAAGACCATTGGCTAAACCATTGCATAGGTTCACCAGCATCTCTGTCTCCCTGGGGAAAAAAAAGTCATCTCTTTATATCTTAGGCTCTGTTATTTCCCTTCTGATGCTTAACTTTATTTGATTTTCATTTCCCTCATGATTACTGATAAAGAGGCCAACCAACAGTTACAGGTATAATAAGACATTCAAATAAAAATAAAAGATAGTTTTAAAATGGCTGGAACAATAATTGTGTAAAGGTCAGCAGCTGAGAAAACATAGTTGCATCTCTTATTACATGTAATGCTCTAAATATTTTACAGTACAAATTTTGGTACTTTAAACTTTGCAACAAAGGAAGTAAAGTACACGCTAAATTAGGGTATAGTATAATGAACTCTTCCCTTCATGTCTCAATTAACGATAAATGGCCCCAAGCCAATGATAAATTAGGTTATGAGGCTTAGACTTTAAAAATATATTTTCTTCCTTCGCATAGGATCAACCAAAGGAGTGAGTTCAACCTAATCGCATGGAACTGAAAAAATTGATATGTATGTCACAAAAATACTGTGGACGGTTTCTAACCCTCAAACACCAACTTCCCCACATGGCTATGGCCAAACATCCTTGGAATAAAAATAAAGAGTGTTTTAATCTATATCAGGGGCTGCGAACTCTACAAGACTAAACCCTTCATTTAGAGAAAACATAAATAAAAATTGCCCAGAGGTTTGGCAAAAAAAAAACTCCACTGTCATTGCATAACACAAATGTTTTTGCTTGTTTTCAAACTTACCCAGCATGCCCTACTCTCTTGAGACCCTCCAGCACCGTAGTTAAATCTGAAGTTATCTCAGCTTCCCGTCCCTGGCTAATAATATGATTGTTGTAGTTCCAAATGTAAGCTGCAGCACTACAAACAATCCATGGCTCATTCAGCACCACACCAAGAGTGAGACCTCGAAGGAAATTTTGTGTAGCTTCCTTTGATAAATTTTTCAGCCAGTCACTAAAAATTTTAGGGAAATTGTTATAAAAAGTATAACTTCATTAAAATTTTTAAAAATTAGCTTCTAAATTAACTTTATTTAAGTTGCTCAAGGAAAAAGCTTTGAAAATAAAAATAAGCATAATTAATATTATTAGGAGAATATCTGTTTAGAAATTTGGGATATGATTTAATTTTAAAGATTTCTTTTTAAAACTGTGTAAGAAAAGGTGGTTACCAATATTCAATCCAGTCAGTATCTTCTTCTGGTTTTTTGGGCACATAACCCTTGGGGCGTTTACTTTTATCTTCTGGATAAACTGGCAAGTCATTAAGTTGCAAACCATGAGACCTCAGCAGCTGGATCAATGCCTTAAGACAAACATAAAAACATTACTGTTTCAAGATGGAAAAAAATTAACCTTACAGATTTATTTAAACAAATATATTTTTTATGCTTTTCAACGTTTGACAAGTCTAGAATTAACAGTGTTCTAATCTCAAAAGCCTGACAATGGCACCCATCAATAAAGAGGAAAAAGTGCTGCCTGGGGCTGACCAGTCTTTGTGAAATATAAGGCATTTTATCATTTAATTCATTATAAAGGTCCTATCTAAAGATGATTTTAGTGCCCCTGATGTTGGCACCTGAGGCGAGTGCCCTCTACATCATCCCCTTCCCTTCACACCGCCCTACTCTAAAAAAATTAAAAAATGTATTTCCGTCTATGTTATTCTATACATATGAGATCATCCCTTCAATATTTCAATGGCAAAGAAATGATATTATCAAGCCAAATATTTATGTCATCAAAGTTGAAGTATGATGTCAAAGTTATGTCTCAAAAGTTCAGTAATTGAAGGCTCAGCAAAATTGCAATAAAGTATGCATATTTCAATGGATGGGAGTAACAGATGGGAGATTTCAAACAGGAGAGAGAGAGCCAAAGATACACAAGGGAGAGAGTGTAGTCCTAGACTTGCTCAATTATTTTTCTGGAGCAATCTCTGGTGATGTGATCTATATTTTTTTGAAAAATGGGATTGATAAAAATAAGAAAGAGAACAAGTTTCCCATTTTAGCCTAAAGAATCATGAGATATTTAATTTAATTTACTGGCTAACAATGATAGTTATCTAAACCAGCAGTTCCCAACCTGCAGTATGTGTACCCCTGGGTGTACGCAAAAATGAAAATTCAAATTAAATTAATAATAAGAACACTGCATTGTTGTATTAAAGTCCACTGTTGATAGTTTTTATTGATTATTTCCAAATTTTATGGCCAGATATTATATTGCAAAGTTTATTTTTGGGATTCGTTTTAGCTGCATTGAATGGAAATAAAGAAACTGAAATTGCTTGTAAAATATAAAATAAAAGCCTCTACATTTCATTAGCTTTTTCAGCTGCATTTTATTTAGCTAATCTAAATAATTTTTTAATACCTTTTTAGGGATGAGTGGAGTTATGGAAAAAGGAAGGGGGGGAGGGTTGTACTTACAAATGAAAAGTCAAATCAAGGGTTCTGGAAGAACAAAATTTTGGCAACCGGTGATCTAAACCTTTATAAACTTATAGGCCTTGATTGAAAAATAACTTTAACCCCTTGGTTATATTTTCCTACTTGATTTTTAAATGTAAGTAACGTTTGTTTAGTAGTTCACCTCGCCATTGACAAACGAAATTTCTGCAATCATTCGCATCAGATCCTTGTTGTTTAGTTTTGGCTGGGGTGTGGAAGGACCAACAGTCATTCTAGAAGCCGTCTTGATCTCAGGCTTGGAGGATGTTTCTTCTACTAAGGTGTCACTAGCACTGTGATCTTGTTTGACACTAACACTGAAAACAAATGAAAATAAGCTGCTGTCATCATGTTACCATTGGCACAATGTGGGTAAGATTTTTTATAATTAGAATTCAAGATTATATCAATGGTTCTTTTACTATTGCTTGCAAACAATGAACTAAAAATTTATGAGTAAGCTCCTTTTATTTGATGTCCAAAAAGAAGCTATTCTAAATATAATACCTTTCAGCAACAGATACAGCTTTTGAGGTAACTGGTGGTGCAACAATTTGCCACTTTGGATCATCAAATAACAGACAAAATCTGCAGGCCACACGACACACATCCCAGACTTCCTGTTTGCGTGCCGTCTTTGCCAGGTCAGCCCAAAGCTTAGCTCTAGAAATTTCATGCAAAATTTTGACAAAGGTTATATTTCTTTTTGGGGAAATAAGACTTATATTAAAAAATCTGTCAGTGACATTGCAATATAAGTAAGCTTTTTTTTTTATTAAAAAAAATAGATGAAAAAAAATTGAACTAACAACACCAAGCCCTGTGACCCAAATTTCTTTAATCTCAAAATGTGTTGAAATGCCAATGGATTACATTTCTTTAGCATTATCCTCTCCAAGTCTACTCAGATAGCCCTCAGTTTTCTGTAGGAATAATTTGTGCTGTTTGGCTTTACCGGCAAGTTGCTTGACTTGTGTCAGTGATTCTTTGACTGCAGATACTTCTGAAAATCAGATCATATAAGGAAACTCAGAAGTTAATGTATCAAAAAGCTAGTTAACATTAATATTAGTTGAATTATGTTCTGTTCTACTTTAAATCAAAAATTATTTTTTCCTATACATTTGTTCAAATGTGAGCTTTCTTTGTCACAAAAATCAACTCATTATTATTTGAAGAAATGTACTTTAATGAAAATAGCTGTAGCTGCAAACATTAAATAAATAACTTGGATGAAGCTATATATTTTACTTAATATTAATTATTTTGCAAACATACATATGTTTGTCTCTTGTTAACTGAAAAACGTTTTTATTCTAAAATTCATAGCAAGGCTATGTCTTCATTGGTTCCTTGACTGAAAAATGCACACATGACAAACACCCACATGATAAACATGCACAGAAAACTCTGCACAGACTTAACTGCAGACTGGAAACTGTGCACACTGACAGCAGCGCACACAGAAATTTGCACACACCGACAAATGCATCCAGCAAAAATTGTGCACATAGACAATTGCAAACATTGACAATTGCGAACACATACAATTGCATTGACACTTGCTACAATGTAATTTTACAAAACAAATTTAAAAAGTTGCCATGTTTCAGTTTGTTATCAGCATAAAAGAGAAGTTGGCAATTATGAAAGGGTGCATGCAAATAATCCTTTTACTCTTTAAGACAAAATATTAAAAAGTGAGTCATCTCATATGGCACGAGTTTTAAGACTCTTCTAAAACATAATATTTATATTAAGGATGAAACATGATATATTATAAGTAAAAGTTAAATTTCTATTTGGCAGAGAAGAAAACTATTTATTTTCTTAAAACATATATTTCTGTTGAAGAAAATAACACTTCATCTGAGTCTAATACCAGTACAGAGAATATTACATAAATTTCTTAAACTTAAAATTATAAACAGAAGAATGATATAAATTAAAGATTGTATCTTATGATTTATTAAATTGTAAAGAGAACACTAATGGCCTACACTACCTATATCAACGTAAATAGCCAAATTATGTTTTTCTGTAAGTAAACTCAGAAGAGTAATCATAATGTAAGCTATAATAATAATAATAATAATAATAATAATAAGTTCATTTCAAAACACGCTTCATCACTAATTAGGGCTCGAAGTGCAGAACTCAAGGCTATTGCTAATTATAATTAATTTTGTAACACCAGCTGTGTTTCTTTCTGCATTGTTTTTTTTTAAAGAAAAAAATATTTAGTTCAGTTTTATTAAGTACCTGTACTATTTTTCATCAATGTACATTTTGATACATTTATTGCTTGTAAATGTATAGCACTAAAATAATTTATTACTATTCTTTATTTGCCTTTTAAGTCTTTTGACAGAATCTGTGGCTATGAATACTATGATGTTGATTGTGGGGCTAAAAAAATGTGGAAGTTTATTTTCACCATTGAGAGTTAATCGACAGGCAGGGTTCAACTAGCAAGGCATATACAGGCAGGCAAGCAAGGTGCAACTTGCAAGGAATGCAGTCAGTGTACAACTTGCAAGGCATACAGCTTCCTGATGTGAAAACATGAGAGGATTTAAGGAAATTTCTAAAGCCAATATCTAAGGAAGTATTCAAACTTTCAGAGTGTGCAGTTTTTTGTGCACAGTTATGTCTGTACTGAGTGTGCATTTATCATGTGGGCCCATATCTCTGGAAATCATCTTCCTAAACTTCAACTTTATTCTTTACACTCATGAGTTTTGGCATTAAATCTTTTTTGAGTTTTTTGACAGTCCCAAATCTTAATAATACTCAAATTTTGGCTGTAATAAATGTTATAAAAGTGATAGGATATAAAGTAATGAATTATAAAGTAATGAGATATAAAGGTAAAAGTCTGATGTAAGGAAATATAAAGAGGTATGGTTGTAATTGATAAGGTAACAAGTGATATGCAAGTGATAGGAAATTAAAATGATTTGGCTTAAGATGATAAGATATAAAATGAGGAATTTTTAAAGAAAATAACAGGTTTATTTTACAAATTTAGACTATTTGTTACAATTGAATTTTGCAGGTGATCAAACAAGTGATTTCAAGTTCTTTTGGATTTTCATTACATACAAATTTATAGAAAAGAAAGAAAAATTCAGAAACTTAATAATTTAAAAGCATTATTTTTACACTTTTCTTAGACATTATAAAGAAAAATTTTTTATAAGGGCTCAAAGCTTTAATTTAAAAAATGAGTTCAGATCATACATATATAGTGTAGTGAGATGACAGACTCTAGAATTTTTTGTTTAATACACATTTTTGAATACCTTCCTTTAGGACCTCTTTAGCTGCATGAGTAATGAAAAAGCTTTACAAAAATTTTTTTTATATCCATTACACAGTTCATTACTCAAATATAATAGACACAGTGCTTAAGAATTCCACATGCAAACAAATTATTTGCAAGGGACTTGAATGGAATCCTAACAACAAAATCTTTTGCAGTTGATTGATCATTTCAGTAATCTGCATTTTTTAGGATTGCTCCCAGTTAGATTGATTAAAATTGATGCCTTTTAAGGAACTTTTTTTACAAATTTCCTTTAATGTGACAATAATTCTTCAACAACTAAAAAATAGATGATACTTTTTAAAGTAAAAGCCTTAGACAGAACCCCTCTTCCCTGAGTCTAAGGACAATAGATTTTTTTTTTTGGTTCTCATGTGATGGTTAAAAGAATCAAACATTACCTTTAGCCTCATTCTCACTGTCAAGCACCAACAAAAAGTTGTCAGGAGCTAAGGCTTCTCCAGCCTTCACTAACAACGAACGCTTCATTCGAATGGTTCCTGAGTCTGATGTACGGGCCTAGAGTTAGAAAGCCAAGTGTATTAGTTTATAACGCAATTTTTTTTCAATTAAAGTAGTGCAAATATATAGAGATTTCCTTGAGATTCAAAACTTACAATTATTTTAAAAAAGGCTAGAGAAATCAAATAACACAAAAATCTGTCTTTAATAATCCAATTTTTTTACAAACCATAACAGCAAAAATATAAATTATATCTATATAAAACCTCATATTCATCAGGTGTTACTTTAGCTAGGCTCTCGCATTCACAACCACAGTAATTGTTTGAACATTCATAAGAAAAACTGAAGTAACAACAAACCTGTTCAATGATCATAGCTGCTTGATCTTCAGATGTTTCCGGCTGCTTGTACAGCTGAGCCCTCAGCTCTAGACGATGAAGGGAGGCTTCCAGCTTTTCATGGTAAACACCAGTGTCATCAAAATAAAGGGCCTATTGAAAGAAGTCATCATACAGTTGTTTTTCTCCAATCATCTAGATCTATACTTAACACAGTTCTACAATTTTTGCACATAAAATTATCTATATATTTCTTTTTTTTTTTTAAATAGCTTTCATCTGTTTACCTCATGTATTTGTTATTTGTTTTGATCCACACTTTTTATTCATAATTAGCTGCTAATTTTGTTTATGTACCTACCTTCTTTTTTCAGAGTTCAAACAGTTTGAATTGAAGTTTACCTTTTTTAAGTTTTCTGTGGCTGCCTCAATTTGCTCCTGATCTTCTTCACACTGGGACAACTCTGTATGTACTTGGCACCTCAATAGAACCAGGAGACTGCAAGCAAAAAGAATTTCTTATAATCTTATACTTCCAAATTTTTAAAGACATCAATGTAATATTTTGTTTGTTTGTTTGTTTGCATGTAACAGTTTTCCAGTTGTCTAATGATGCAGCAAACTGAATTTTAGACCATGGAATTTTATGCCAGTCTTTCATTCAGTCAGTAGGCTATGCTTAAAGATTTTATTTTTTTATAACAGTGTTACACCATTTTTAAAAACAATACACTTAAAAAAGTGGAAACAATTTGTAACAGATAAAAACTCTAAATCATACACTAATTAGTCAGTTTATCTGCATCAACTTTCTTATAACTGTAGTAGTGCAAATGTTATTAAGAAACGGAATCCATTAAGTTTTACCTCCATTTGTAGAAGGGGTCATGAGCAGAAGAACTAGTCTGAACCAATGGAGCAAAGTGATGTAATGGCTCACCTGTCAATGTTTTCCAATGCCTGGGCTATGATTGCCAAAGGTCGTCTAACCTTGTGTCTTAAGTTTGGCTGTAAGAGAGGAAGACACAGGTTCCACTGAGTAACGCAACCTGCCTGGATAACATTGGGGTCACCTAGGCGCATGGCATTCATGATAGCCTCTTCACATTTCTTTATGGCTTGAAGACGTATCTGAAAGAATTTATTTACAGTAATATGCATCCCTCTTGAATTTTCTGGCCACAACCTTATACATTTTTTTTCTTCTTTTCACTAAACTTTAAATCTGAAACTCAACCGTGAGTAACGTATGACATTTTTTGAAATTTTAAACACCATTAAAAAATGAACACGTTTTAAACTAGCTAATGAACAATTCAATTACTTACCTGTTATTCTAAACAATGGGAAATGCTTGAATTAAATACAGTTTTTAAAAATGGTGCAAAAAAACAAATATTCTCTAAATAAATTATTTAAAATAAAAGATTATTTTTTTTCCAATGGCCAGGCTTATTTGTAGCAGGGCCCAGCCCCACGGTTTCTAGCGCCCTAGGCGAGAGTAACTTTGGTGCCTCTTGTAAGAATAATCATAAATTGAGGGGTTAGGTAATGATTTTATTACCTAGGTTGTTTTTTAACAAACAAGTTCCTTATCAATAGCTTTATTAGTCTGTAATCGCAGTGATGTTTCAACCATTTATGGTATATCATTATGAACGGCATAAAACAAAAAATGCAAGCAGTTAATTTTCCCGGGGGACCGGTCTATTTTACTGGTCATTTAGCAAATCTCAACTGAAAAGAAGATTTTGATTTATGTATACATAGTGAATAAATTACTAAATTATTGCAAAGAGAGATAATTAAATAACTTACAGAGTGGAATATATTACAAAAATCACAATTATAATCAATTTAATTAAATCTGTTATTTGTAATCTATTTATTAAACTAAACTTAAATAATTTAGGTATCGCACCAAGTTTATCTGCTCCAGGGTGCTGAATATGCACTGTTCTGAACAACCCAAAATTCGATTCCAAAGCATACAAACATTATGCAATAAATATTATTTTTCTTCCATGGGACCCACATGCAATGCTTTTTCCTGTTTTGAGAGAATGTTGATAGTGTCCTAAGCACACAGTGCCTCAGGCAACTGTCAGAGTTTCTGGGATCTTGAGCCAGCACTGTTTGTAAGTCAAACACTTCGTGATATAGATTGCAACCTGTAGTTGTAGATCAGTGAGAGTTAAAATTTAAGAGAAAAAAAACATTCTTAAGATTTTATTTTCACTTACATCAACAACTGCTTTCTGGAACGTTTCCTGTTTATTTCCCAGTGCCTTCACCATCATCTCACATTCCAAAAATTCCTTTTCTAATTGGAAGGATGGATCCTGTGAATGAATGCCATAATGTGGTGACATGAAAAGCATGTTCATTCTTTAAGGCTTGAGAAAGATTTTTTTTTTTTTAAATTGTTCCATATAAATTGTTTTACATTGTATTTATATTATATTTATATTGTTCATATAAATCCTTAAAAGCATCACTGAAACACATTTTAAACTTCAGGTAAAACACTCTTATATATTATTATAAACTAATACATTTTTTTTTTAACCCTTCACTAACAATATTATGTAATAATTTTTAGTTTCTAGTTTTTCAAAATATTCTTTTCTTCTTCAAGCTGTCCATACCTTGACAGAAAGCTGTTCCATTCTATCGCAACAAACTTTAGCCAAGTCAGCCAAATTCAGTTCAAGACAAAGGCGAGCCAATTCCATTAATAAGTTGCCCCTACAGTGGAAATATTTAAAAAGTGAAACTTAAATTTCATGTGAATTAACAAAGGAATATATCAAAGCTTTGCAGTTAACCCCAAAGTTAACTTAATTATAAGAATAATTGCATGTTCTTTTCAGCTTTATTTTCATTTTTTCCACTTAATACATATTTTTTGTTTCTCTGTTGCTCTGTTGGTTATATATATATATATAGAAACATTTAGAAACTAATTAAAATGTTTATTGTTTGAACATCTTTTTAAAAGCTGCTATTTGCAAATTATGAAATTGCAAGCTTGGAATGATATGCAGGTGTTCGGTTTAAATATAAAAATTAAAATCTATTTAATAACTGATTTCATGGCTATTAAGTATTTATTTGCATGAACTTTCATTGATGTGGATCTTTCTTAGTAAGTTTCGTGATACATTTTAAAATATTTGTCATCTTATTACTGTTTAAGAATAATGAGTCTTAAAATAAAGTTATTAGCAAAATTATTATGTATGATAAACTATTTTTGATTGATCAAATAACAAATGGAGGTTTATCAAGCTTTTATGAAACATTTCAAACAGCTTATTATTTTATGCAACATTTGAGATACTTTATATCCTTTATATAACTCAGCATTTTAAATGCACCAAACATAGAAACCATTTTAAAGAAACTGTATAGACTAAATATAAAAGAAACTGTATAAATTTAAACCAACAATCTGAAAGAGTTATAATTAGAAATATTAATATTATTTTTTTTTAAAGACTTCATTTAGAATGGAATACTTTAAAAAAATGTATATCTAGTTTTAAAATAAATCCCAAAATTATAGTTGTTTTCCACTCATTTAAAATATTTGAATACTTCAGAATAAAGTTTACAACCGATTTAAATTCAGTTAAACACAATACTTTGAAATGTTTAGAGGCACTTAATATTTAGATAATTGCATTAGCAACTTAATAGGTAAGGAATTGGATGATAAATCAAAACAAAATAATTTCATAACCAATTTAAAGTTAGCAAACTGTTTTTAAAAAGTATTATAGCTGCAAACCTTTGTAGATCTGACCGCAAAGCATTTATAAGAACACTGGAGGAAATTTAATGTTTCAGTTTTAAACACATAAAGCTTAGAAATAAAAATAATTTAAAATACATAATTTATTATTGGGCAAAGATCTTAATTTACAGAAATATCTAACAATTTTCAAATATTTCTGTATTTTTAGAGAAGTTTCTTGTATACAAAAATTAACATATATAAATGATTATCAGACAAAGCAGTTGGAATAAATAGAGCCACAAGCAAACTATTAATACATTCATACATGATGAACCACAACAAAATTTTTTGTTAAAACTTTCATCTTGGATACTAAAAAATAACACAATTTGTTTGTGAGACAGTACAAACTGATAGAATTATTTCAGCACAATCAAAGCCTCACAATAACACTAATCAGCAAGCAATGAATATGAATAGCTTGTGGCAATCTATAAGCCATAAGTTAATATCAGTAATATGGATCGAATCTCACAATGATCTAACCTTTCTTTTCGTGGAATTTTACTGAAACATTTAGAAACCAATTAAAATGTTTATTGTTTGAACATCTTTTTAAAAGCTGCTATTTGCAAATTATGAAATTGCAAGCTTGGAATGATATGCAGGTGTTCATTAGATGATATCTCTTTAAGTTTTCAAAGAATGGGGCAGCCAAAATTTAAATTTTGAGGGGGTTTTTTTGTTGGTTTTTTTTTTTGCAGTTCATTGTACAAATATTTTACTGAACTCAATTTAAATTTTGAAATATTTTCCAATGATTTTCTTGGAAATAATAGTTAATGCTGGTTTTTTTAAATAGAATTTATCCATACTAACTGCTATAAGAACAAAATTTTTGGCTCATGAATTTAGTTGTATAGTAGGAAACAAAGCATATAAACATTAAAATGGCAAAGTAACTAACTTATCTGAAATTGTTGATGAAAACTTCTTTACTTGTGGAGGTGTTTTCCTATTAGAGTTTTTATCAGAGTTAATAAGTCAATTCTTTTTTTATTTTTAAATTATAAAATAAAAAATTTACATTTAAAAAATCAAAACTAAAATCATTACATCATGACAAAACACATAAGCAAATTTTTGTGTAGATTTTAGAGAAGAATCCAAATCAAGTAATACCACATTAAAAATCAGGACATACCAAAATAAAAGAGAGCTACAACTTGCTATTTTAAAAGTACATACTTTTAAGAAAATTATCAGAGGCATTATTTCCAGGTTTTCTTTTTTTTTTTTTTCTACAAAATTTATTAATTTATTTTCAGCTAGTCAGTGCCTCAATCTGGGATAGAGGGCACAGGAATCTGCCATTCATTTTGTATAACGTTAATACAAATAGATTGCCTAAAGTGTCCAAGGCACAAAAAGGGTGAAGAATCTTGGCGAAGGTTTTACCTTATTTCTTCCTTGGTTATATTTGTTCTTTTACATGAGACTCCATGTTTCAGGTGTTTAATAAAAATGTATATTGAATCAAAATATTTGGGAACTTAAAATTTAAAATAATCTTAAAACTCTTTATAGCCTACAATCTATTCAGAATACATATGAGAACTTAAAGCAAATGGGACACCCTAAATGGTGTTGTAATTCTTCAATTCTTAACCCTTTGACCATAATTATATGGGTAGTTTTGTTTTATTCAAACTCTGATCTGCCACTTTAAATGAGATTATAAAATTTTAATTTTAATTGAACCTCTAAATTTATGTTTACATTAAATAATTGAACACATAGGGTTCAAGTCAGCAAATTATTGCCAAAATTACATAGGCCTATTTGACTATTTCTACTATGGAAAAAAGGGATAAAAAAAAAAAGAAAAAACAACATATGCCTACATATCTATGTGAAATGCCTAGAAAAAGATATAATTGTCTAAATGAAATGGAAATTAAAAATAAGCAAAACTAAAATTTCTTATTAGAATATTTAGAAATTGTTAGATTAATAAGTGCAAGGCAATTACTCACAATTCACTTTTGCGCCTCTCAGGTTTCGATACAAATATATCTGATTTCGGAGGTTCTACCAGTGATTTTGCATTATCTAACAGATTCAAAATGCTTTCAATCTCAGTGGAGTAATCTGTAATAACTTCCTCTTGTTCCAGAATGCTGAAGTTTGAAAAGTAATTTTAATTGATTTTTTTTTTTTTTACAGAAATTTGAAGGTATATGGTGTTTTAACCCTTCATTTTATAGATGGAAAAAACTAATGAAATTAAATTAAAATATATTTATATAATTGTCATATGCTCTCTGATTTTAAATGCATTGTTAACTATTTTACTAACTATTTGAATACATTAAAATAGGATTTACAAATTATAATTTCAGATTTATCAAAGATATTTAGAGAAGTTTGTGTACAAAAATATTATTATTCTGTGCTTTTAAAACAATAATCCATTTATTATATTTGAAAAAAAGTTAACTTAAGTTAAGGGTATACATTTGTACATCTATCTATATTGTTTGACAAATTTGTGATGATGTGGGAAGAAAAGGGGGTTGCGGGGGCAAAATTGGCCAAAATAGTGTGATGTTGTCAATGGATGGACCCTGCACCCTTAAGCCTACATTCATAACCAAGAAAGTGGAAAATATATCAATATGAATACCGTTTTTTATTAAGATTAATTTGAGAGCTACTGAAATAAAAAAATCATGTTAATTTATATTAAAATTGGGCAAAATAGTGTGATGTTGTTAATGGATGGACCCAGCACCCTTAGGCCTACATTCATAACCAAGAAAGTGGAAAATATATCAATATTAATCCCCTTTTTTTTATTAACATTAATTTGAGAGCTACTGAAATAAAAAGATCATGTTAATTTATATAATATGCATTGATTTTAAGTTATAATAATAATTTTTAAAAAGGAGTAAACATTTTTAAAGAAACAGATCAAATTTGATCTGAAAAGATTTATAAAAAGAAAAGTTTAACTTAAGGCATAAGTCAGTATATGTATTAAACCTTTCATATATATATCAAGCGTTTCATCATTAATTTTCAACAATTGTATTAGATAAGAGCATATATGAAATGAAGCCCATTTTCCTTTAGTAAAAATAAAAGAAAGTATGCTTTTATATTTTCTTTTAAAAGTAAAGTATCAACTATTGTTAAAATTTTAACGTTAATTTAATTTTAGAGAAAATTGAAAATAAAACTAAGAAAGCCAAATAGAATTAATAAATTTTTTTGGTAAGGTTTCACAATGTTTACGTAGAACTTTGAAAAGTTTGTTCCTCTAATGACATTTCTTGCTCAGAGGGAGGACTTGCAGAAATTTCTTCAACAAAAAGATCCACTGGAGGATTTAACAAACTAAAGAAAGCATGCAAAAAGACAGGATGATTTGTCTCAGTTGTTATTAGAAACAAACTTGAATGATTTAATTAAATTTGAAATCAAATTAAATTGTTGAAGCTAAAAGAATGAAAATGAAAAGGTAGCATTTATGAATGATTAAATTAAAATATTTCTTGTTACAGCACCTTGGCAGTTTCAGGGATGGGGCAGTTTAGGGAAGTGTATAGTTTCAGGGATGGGGCAGTTTAGGGGAGTGTATAGTTTCAGGGATGGGGCAGTTTAGGGGAGTGTATAGTTTCAGGGATGGGGCAGTTTCAGAGAGTTCATGTTCACAACTGTGTCATTTTTCAGAAAAGATTGTCATAAAAAGCACACAAATTTATTGACATATAGCTAATAGGATAATGATACCCTCCATTCTTTTATTATTTTTTTCTGCTTTCAAACTGTTACTTTACTTTGCTGTCAACGGTATAATATGGTAATCTCTTGTATTCAGTTTCATCTTAACATATTCCTGAGAAACTTGACAGGTAATGGACATGCCTGGTCCAGATAATGGACCTGCCTGGTCACTTTTTAAATGCAATAACTTCCCTCAAATGATCCTGGTAGGCCTGGAGAGATACTGACCCTCATTTTTTTAAAGAATCACATTTAGAAATTTTTAGAATTCTCAAGGAATACATTCAATTTTTTTTCTTAAAAATACATAACATTTAAGTTCACAAATAGCTACATTAAAAATGTTGATGAAATTAGGTTGACGGTTGCACATAACTTGTCTGGGAGCAGCTCCTGGCTACACTGGATGAATCTGACTGTGAACACTTTTTGGTGGTTATTAATTTAACAAATTTTGAAATCTCTGTGATACTATCAGCACCCAAAATAAATTACTGAGTTTTTTATATTTCCTTAAATACAAATTTATTTTAAATGTGTGTTGTTGTGTTTTGGTTTAAATATATTACATTTTTTAGATGATGAATTATGGGAGTCAAATTATTAATATATACAATCAGCAGATACACTTTTACACACAAAACATACAAGAAAGACACCATTTAAAGTTTGTAAGACCTACTTCTTTAGTTTGCAGATCTTGTAAAAGGCATTTAGTTCAGGGGAAGACTTAGTTTCTTTCTGGATTTTTGTTAAGTCACACAGTTGATATCTAACCTGGAAGCATAATTAGTATTATGTTAAGATGGATCCTTGGGTTAAATAGGATGGCTAAAATGTATAACATTTTACAAAAATTTTAAAGATACTTTTAAATAATTATAAATTTACTTTGTTACATGCTAATAAAATTACATTAGACTGTAATTTTGAAAGAAATTATTAATTAGATAATTTAGATTATTATATATATATTTTTTTTTTACCTTGACTGATTTACTTCTTTTTTTAAAAATTGATTTCTTCAATAACATTATGCATTTCCACTTTTTTTTTCAATTATTGTTGGAGCAAAATTACCAATCATATCACTATTTATACACTACCATGAGACCAAATAATTTCTTGTATAGAGTTGGTACATTAGTTTTGATAAATGAAGCAGCTGCTGTGGCTACATTTGCAGCATCACTTCGGCGGTTAGCATCAATGTGACATTCTATCAGTGATCTGCCAATCATTAGAGCATTCATATTTATGTATTTTAATACATGATGACAAATTCTTCTCCAATATATAGAATTACTGTTATGCCCCCATCACCTAAAAACGATTTGTTTTTCTACTTCTTACCCACATATAAACCTCTAATTGCTAGTGTTTGTGTGAAATTAATAGAAACTATGGAACCAGAGATATTAGATATGGTTTTAATACTTGATTTTGTTAAATTTATCAATAGCAATTTGAAAATTAATAACATAATTTTTCACATTTCACATAATAAATTCAAGTATAATTCCGACAACATTAAAGATGTATAATAACATGGCTGTAGATTCAGTTGTAAATTTAAAATATTTTAAAATATTTGACATATTTCTTACATCATTAGCTGGGCACGCCATTCAAAATCTTTGTCTTCAATTTCATCTAGAGCTTTAACCACCTGATGAAGACTGTGGACCAAGTATTGACGATATCCAGGTTTCAGAAATGGACGTGAAAGTTGCCAGTAAATCACTGATGAGTTGTAGACCAAAAAGTGATATCTAAGAATAAAAATGATATTTAAGAAATAGCAAAGCACATTTATAAATACAATGAAAACTAAAATTAATTTTAAAATGTCGCGAGGCAATATTATAATGCTATAAATACATTCAACTGTACAGCTTTATATTAAACCTACTGTAAAATGACCACTTAAGTTCATTCTGATGATCTATATCAAAATATGCAAAAAAGGAGTGTTTTTGTACAATTATGTCCATATTGGCATCTGCCAATCTTCATGAGATGATACTGTAGCTTCTGGGTTTGTTTTACAACTAACTATTGACTTATGAGTCTGATCCTGGAGTTGCAGTTTTGGCTGCTAAATTATAATTATATTAATGAAATAACTAGTTAAATTATGTAATTCTTGTACCCTACCTTGGGTTGTTCTTTGCAAAGGAAATAGCTTTTGTGACATATACCATAGCCTTCTCCAGTTTTTCCTGTTAGTTAAAGAGCTTTATCCTTTATGCTTAATCAAAAATGTTTTTTTATCATTTCACTAATTTTAATATTATGTTGGAAATTTAAAATTAATCAGAAGCTTAACTTAGTTTGGAGATTAAACTTTATTGGCTCTGATTAACTGTTTAATTGACTATTTAAAAAACATTATTTCATCAATTGAATTTCATGACATGATGATGAGATGTTTTTTATCTTACATTATATATAGGCTATATGTATTTATTATTATTTATGTTTATTAAAATAAAGATCAGCCCAGCCCTGATAGTACTCACTAAGTCATTAGAATCTTTAGGAGCAAGTAATTGAGCATGGCAGAGGTAGGCACGACAAAGAAATTGATTTGCAGCTGGCTGCTTCATTGAAAACATTTTTAAGCACTCTTTAGCCATTTCTAAATGTCCATGCTGTAGATTTTAAATTTTAAAATAAATAATATATAACAAAGGATTATTATTTATGCGTATGAAGAATGCCATGTATATATGTTCTATAAATTTTTGTTACATTTATTTAGAATGTTTAGCTAAAATCTAATTAATTATTCAGGTAAGGCAAAAATTTGAAAATAAATCTAAAGATGTCATAAAAAATCATCAATGACTGTAAAACTAAGACTAGGCTTGAAACATAAAGATTATTTCCAACCTGAAGAGCAAGTTCAGCACATAAAACATAAAGGTCTTGTCCAAAAGCTTCAGGTGCATCAATAACTGGTCTTGATTCTGCAACACTTCTCAATAGGCTAAATGCCTGTTGAAGTTCAGGATTCTTTTCACCCACTGTAAAAATGAAACATTCTAAATAAATTTACTGTATTTTTTAAAAATTATTTAATTTCACAGGATAAATGAAATTGTTGGCTAATCAAATAATAAGTAACTTGGTAAGCACATTTTTGGTACAATATAAATTTTAAAACAAAATTAAACCATTTTACATTAAAACATTGCAGGGCAAAGCCAGTAGACTTTATAAACTTTCACTTACTTAGAATAAGTAGTGATTTACTATGACTAAAGTATAACAATATCCAGTAATAACAAAAACAGTTAAATCTATATGTATTATCTCTATCTCAAAAATTATGTTGTCTACATATACCTAACTCAATGTTAGAAAATTTAAATGTTTCTCCACATTCAAAGAAAAGACATCTTTTATGGCTAATAATTAATATTGATAGTAATAACAGATTGTGATAATGATATATCTCAATAATCATGTTTAGTAGAAAATAAATTATAAAAGTAAAAAGAGCAGAATTTTTAAGTCATATGACTTAGATTAAAAATTTATAGGCTAAGCATAATTTTTCATTCTCTTGTAGCCTCTACTCTAGTCTAAGATTGAATCTTAATTAATTTTTCATCTTTAAATTAATTAAATTATGGATAATCTAATAGTACTGGATATTAGAATTTCTAGATGAGTGGTTCTCAAAAGGTGTGCAGCAGCACAATACTGTACCATAAAATTAGCTTGGTGTACAGGAAACTTCTGAGTCTTTGTGATATTGCTGGTATTGAAATAATTTTACTCAATATTATCTTGGCTAATTGCATTACAATTATAAGCCTAAAAACAACTGAGGGTTGAAGGCAAACTGTGCATACCCTAGGCCAAAGCCCTCACGTGGTTACCAACTTGTATATAAGTCCCATCTCAAATTGTTGCTAACTTGTTTTCCTGTGTTAGGGTGCAGTTAGAGCTCACTACTTTGTCATAGGATAGTGTGCCATGAACAAAATAAGGTTGAGAACCACTTGTCTAGATATTATTATCAATTATAATATTAGAATTATAGTAAATACCTGGGTGGCTGCCAGCTTTGGCAATTAATTTTCGTATGCTAGCATCCATTGTGATTTTTTCTTTAAGTCTTAATAGTCAATTTGATGCGCCTTATTCACACTTGGCAACAGTTTACAGAGCACTCAGGGGGAAATAGGACATATTCTCTATTGACTGACTATACAAATAGAATACTGTAATTAGTTTGTAATTTAAGAGTTTTAAAAATCGCATTAAAAAATTGAAAATGAGCTATTAAATGGCATGAAAATAGGCTAATGAATTTTATATCCATGGTAATTTCTTCCTTTCCACTTTTGACACTTGACTCAGCCTGTCTCAAACTCAATTTGTCCAGACACTCACTATTTATTACAAGAAAATAACTAATTAAATTAAAATATTTAAGCTAAACTCAACTAAATTTTAATTGTAGCTAAGCAGTGGTGAGGTAAGAAGACAGCAAGGTTTTTGTTCAAAAATAAAAATAAAAGTGTTTATGATAGTTTATGAGTTGTGAAGCCACTTTGGCTTTGTTTTTTTTTACTTCTTTAGCGTTGTATTCTTCTATTAATAATTTTGACTTTTTGATTCAGCTTATGTAGTATGTTAATAATTATTATGTGTGCTGTAATGGTTTGCCAATCAAACTAATGATTTGCTGATTAAGTAACATGTACTCTGATTTCTGAAAAGTTTTTAAATAAATTAATAAATGATAATGCCAATGCAGATGAAAAACAACGTAAAACTAAAACCAAAGCTTCAAATTTAATATAAGTCGGTCACATATACTTCGATCTACGCACACCATTTTGAATTCGTATGCTTCATGTTTAGTTTAAATAAGTAATACGCCTATAACACTATACTCTTTTCATCATCAAACTCCTCGAATTCTCTTTAATTCTTTTTTTTTTCTTTTAGTTTGCGATAATTAAAAAGCAAGCATGATTGCCAATGGTAACTAGGGAAATTTATATTTTGATATGTTTGGCTATCTCTAAAATAATACACGAAAAGATTACTTTACTATTTACACGATAGACAACAAAGGTGTAAGATTTATTTATTTTTTTAACAGAACCAAGTAAGTTTATTGCAAAGTCTTAAAGCAGTGTTGTTATATAAACTAAACCAATTTATTTTTTATCAAGAATTACGATAATTTTAATAACCTAAAAACTAATTGTTGGTTCTCTTTTTTGAATTGCCTATTTACAAAAAGAGGGTCTTTATTTTCGTTGTAATAGAATATTCCCATAAATTCTTAAAAAACTTAAAATAATCATTTCAAAGAAACGAACCCCGAATCCACAGTCTGCACAAAAGTAAAGTGGTGTGCTCAAATTCAAAGCATCAGTACGGTAAAAATTATTTTATTTAGGCTTAAATCCCAGTCATTTAATCAAATTATAAATAATGAACTTTAGTTCCTAATGATAGTATGAGTGTTATATTTAAATAATCCGAATTATAATTATAGTAGGCTAAAACTAAAATTATAAAATAGACAAATAAATGGGTAGACTAAAGGGTAATCCCTTATTTTAGTGCGTTTTATTATTTCTACAGAAATAAAATTAAAAATTCATTTTTACCTCATGGAACTACATTAAAACACTTCAGTGGCTACTGTAACATGTATTTATTGTTTTCCAATTGTTTTTTCATGTATTTTGCAGTGGTTTTAAGGTGAAAATTTAATATAAACCATGTATTTACAAAGACTATCGATGGCTGCTATTGTTTTGGTCTGTTTTGCTGAAGTTGGGCCAGATTTTTTGCCAGTCTCAGACCAAAAGAATTATTGATACGGTTAAAGGAATGTAAAAATAATAGACAATTATTATGTCAGATTCAGGGGCATCGGCTTACACTTGGGTGTAGGCGTAGGGACCGGCATCGCTTACACTGGGGTGTAGGCGTAGGGACGGGCATTGGGTTTCACTGGGGTGTAGGCGTAGGGACCAGCATCGGCTTACACTGGGGTGTAGGCGCAGTGACCGGAATCTCTCTGAGCGTGAAGGTGCAGTTGTCCCATCGTGTTGTCCATACACTCTAGGCCCATTTAATGTGATATGTGCCAGTATGAAGGTTAAAAGGTCATATCTTGGATGGTGGACGTGGGGCAGGAGGGTGGGGGTCACATCCCCTGTCCATCAGAGCGTGATGATCGGCATCAGGTTCCCCCCCCCCCCTTTTTTTTTTTCTCTCTCCCAGAGCTCTCGAAAAAATATACGAGTAGCCCCTTGAAGTTGAAGCCATGGTGGGGGGGTTGAATTTGAAACTGATTACCAAGGCAGCGTACACACACATCATCATTTACTTGTGAATAAAGTTATCTGACCAAGAGTGACCGGGACGATGCATTAGGTCACTATATCAAAGAATGACAACGTAGCAAAAGACGCAGAGCACGGAGTCTCGACGTAATAGGATTCCACGAACACCAAAGAGCGACCGATGTCCAAGCCACTGATGGGCAAGGGAACCAGAGGCAAGGCTCAGCATGTGGTGTTGATGTAATACCTTTGCCTTTGTTTCACTAGATGGACAAGGGAACCAGAGGCATGGCTCGAGCACGTGGTGTTGATGTTACACCTTTGTTTAACTAGGGCTGAAGTTGATGAATTAAAAGTGGCGCTGTAAAGAGAAGCTAGGTTTTTGGAAGTAAGGTTGTTCACCGCCGGAGCTGGAGTGGGTCTGCATCTGCTAAAATTCCCTACTTCTTTGAGCCCCAAATAATATTAATTAACTAGCCAAAGATAGCATCGGAAAAACGTCTACAGCCTTTTAATTTACATTGAAATTATGCGCCAAGTGAAAAAAACAAACAAAAAAAATCCCTAATTAATTTGTCTCCTATAAAAACACATTTAAAATAACTTGTGTAAACCTTTCGGTCCCCGATTAGTATCCCATTTTCCAATGGGATCCAGATCCTATTAGAATCCCAATCCCATTGAAATCCCTTTCCCAATGTAATCCCATTCCCATTGGGATACCAACCCCATGGGGGTTCCGATTCCGTTAGGATCGATCCCATTTCCCGATGGGAACCCAATCCCGTCGGTATCACGAGCCTGGTGTGATCCCATTCCCGTCGATAGCTTGATCCCGGTGGGATCCTGCTTCCCAGATAGATCCCAAATCCCGGTGGGATCCTGATCCCAATAGAACCCGATCCCGGTAGGCCACTGATCCCGTTTTCCTATAGAACCTTGGTATGATCCCGCAACCCGATGGGATCCCGTTACAAGATTAATCCATTCATGGTATTTTTTTAGTAATTTTATTTATGTAGCTCATATCATATAAGGAAAAAGACGAATTCGGCCCCCCTCCCCCCAGCTCCTAACAGAATGTTATAAAAAGTTCATAACCCCTTATCCTTAAGACTAAAAGTTCATTCTGGATAATGATGGATATATGTGCTAAGTTGGGTCAAGATCCATCAATCCGCGTGAACGCTTTTGTGGAACAAACAGACAGACGAACCCACAAATTTTCACTTTTATATATATATATATATATACACATACATACAGTATATATGTGATATGATATATTAATTTAACAAAAAAGAAAATGCAAAATATTCCCGTTTCATATAAACAAAGTATTTATTAAAACCGTTGCCCTACTCTTCTACCTATTAGCTGCCGAGCTGTGTATTTCAAATGCACAGCTAATAACATAGGTAACTGACAATAATATTAATAAACTCAATCATCACCCTCCCCTTATTAATTTTTCGGAGCTTGAAGCGGAGCTGGTGTTAAAAAAATTGTCCGGAATGGATCTGGAAAAGGAAAGGGAAGGGGGGTGGCACAAATTTGTGAGAATGCGTCCCATTTGTTTTGAACATTTGTGGCGACGGAGAAATGGGGGTGGGGGAAATCGTCCATAGAGTGGGGTCATTTACTGATGGTCATCGCAAATCACACTCATGGTAAGCAGATACGTTGTTCGTGATTGGTCAGCTCTACTTTGAGCACCCCTCCCCCTTTTTTGTATGCCAATGAGCTTAAGTTGACTGATTTGCTCTAAATAACATGAGAGTGAGGGCTGGTTATTATAATTATATATAATAGGACGCACTCATTTTGCGGTATTAATGGTACTGGGATCCCTTTGTTGAAAATGGCCGGAAGACCAAGATTAAATAGGATTCAAATTGTTGATCCAACGGAAATTTTAAATGATGCAGCACTTCGGACTGAGTTTTGGCTTATGCGCACACTTTGTGAGGCAACAAATAATGTCAATACAACAATGGAATTTCTTGCAAGGCGCTCTCTTTTAAAGAATAAAATGGAATGCAACAATTGCCATGTGGCTTGCAACCCACAATCAAGGTATTGACAAACATATATGGAAGTGTCCAATTTGTCGTTTGAGGAAAAGTAGACGAGATGGCTCATTTTTTACTAGGAGCCATCTACCATTATCTAAATTAGTCATTCTCATCTACTGTTTCGCCATTGATTCTCCTCAAGATGTTACGAGGCATGAGTCTCAAATCCAAAACCAAAACACAGTGATTGACTGGTTTAATTTTCTTCGAGAGGATATAGGGATTTATCTGAACCAGCATGCAACTCAGATTGGTGGCTTTGACGATAATGGGGAGCCCATGGTGGTTGAGCTTGACGAATCAAAATATTTCCATCGGAAATACCACAGAGGAGCATGGCGTCAAGGCCACTGGGTTTTTGGTGGCATAGAAAGGTCCACTGGAAAATGCTTCCTAGTGGAAGTTCCAGACAGAACAGCTGGAACCCTGGAAAACATTATCGTCCAACAGGTTTTGCCAGGGACACACATAATAACAGATGGATGGGCAGGCTATAGGAACATAGAGCAATTGTCCAATGGGATATTCATACATTCAGTTGTAGTGCACGCTACGTTTGTAGCGCCAAACGTAAACTGAAAAGACAGTACGGAACAAGTGACACATTGTTTCCATCATATTTAAAGGAGTTTCAGTTCCGTTGCAACTTCACAAAGTTTAAATAAAGTCTTCAACGAACTTTTGATTGTCTTAAAAGGACGATATCCAGTTTAATAAAACATTTTAAACAGTTCCATTTTTTTTTCTTGGTCTTTCCAGAGCATTAAAGGTCAGTTTTTACAATTGTTATTTGTTTTGTTCCATTTAGTCCTTTGTGTGCCGATTGTGTGCCGACATCGTTGTTGTATACTGTATATACTGACGGTGGATGATAGATGGATGTGTCATCTACCGTTATCTAATGTCACCCTTCGTCACCCACAGTAATCCACCATCATCCACAGTCACCCAAAGTAATCCGCCGTCATCCATCTATCATCCACCGCCATCCACCGTTGTCTACTATTATTCACCGTTATCAACCATCATCCACTGTCATCCACAATCACAAACTGTCATCCACCGTCATCAACCAGTATCCACAGCCATCCACCGTCATTCATCATCATCCACAATCATCCATCTATCATCCACCAACATCAACCATCATCCACTGTCATCCACCGTCTTCCACCATCATCCACCGTCATCTACCATCATCCACCGTCATCCACAATCATCCATATATCATCCACCAACATCAACCGTCATCCACAATCATCCATCTATCATCCACCAACATCAAACGTCATCCACCATCCTCCACCATCATCATCCGATATCCACCATCATCCACAATCATCCATCTTTCATCCACCATCATCCAAAGTCATCCACCTTCATCCACATATCATTCACCCCATCCACCGTCATCTACCATAATCCACCGTCATCAACCATTATCCACCGTCATCCACAATCATCCCTCTATCATCCACCAACATCTACCGTCATCAACCAGCATCCACCGTCATCCACAATCACGAACCGCCATCAATCATTATCCACCGTCACCTAAAGGCCGAGTTCCACAATAATTTGCAGAAATTAAATAAA